ATGTACATACTGCATGTATGGACTCCACATCTCCCCCCCCTCTATTTCTCCCTGCATGCATCAGATGCTATATGTAACATAGCAACATCTCCGTGCAGCAAGAGCAAAGCCGTACGACAAACAAAGCTCGATGACGAAGCCCCGCCGCATCAAAGGGTGCACAAAGAAAGCAGGGAAAAATGAAGAATCAGACCGAAGGATGCAAGGCGAGAAGAGCCCGGTTTCATCTTCAAAGACATTGATGGATGTAGTTTGGATGTTGCATAGACTGTACAATACATGAGATTAGCCATTTCCAATTGACCAGTCCAATTGGCCAGGTTTGTGAGGGAGAGTCAAATGGTGTTCTTTGCTTTGTAAAGCAGGATTGTTTGATTGATTGATCAAGGCAGGATTAAGTTCAATCGTTGGGTTTACAACTTTCCTATGCTTTCAAGCCCTCAGGCTATCTATCATCTACTCAATACTTCACCTCCATCTTGAGGGAATATCTATAGATGGATAAATAGATACCCTGCTATCTAGCAGCCAGTAAACCAAGGCACCAACATTACTGTACCTACTTTCTAAGCCTCCTATCGCGGCCTCCCTCAGACTTACCTAGTGTATATATATAACAAACAACAAGTCCAAACCACTGACCTCCACCCCTCTACCTGAAACAGCCACCCAGAAGCCACCAACAAAAATCCCCAAAAGCAGCTCAACACACCCCCTCGAAATCAGGGGGGAGGGGGAAAAGAAGGGCGCTTGGATAGCAGCAAACCACCTACCAGGTCCTGCACATTTGGCCTGCTGTTTGCCGCCGCCGCAGCAGTATCATCAACCAACAAATCCACCCCCTCGGGAAAAGCGTTTGTTGCACTTGCATTCGCCCCTCCCCTTCGTGCACGGAATCGATGCAGGGAAAAAAAGCACCAGACTATGCATGTTTGTACTCCAATATTTGTACGACGTGTGTGTGGCTTTGTGGCGGGACGGGTTTGAGATGAGGAGGTACCTACTACCTACCTTTCTACGGTATGTACGTACATCTACACTTAGTGCTGTGCTGTACTGTACTAGCTGGGCTTCGAGCTCTATGAGTAGGTCAGGGGAATGGGAAAGTTGCATCCGCGATACTATCCCCTCGACTTCGGCATCGGCATCTGCATCTGTATTTAATTGTGTACGGTGCGGTGCGCAACGAAAAGATCGCTTGATCGGCTTCCCAGATCCCGAAGGTATATTTGGCTTTCTGTACGAATGTATCGTAGTTACTGGATGTACAGTACATACATGCCGTATAGCAGGTTTAATTAAGGCTTGTGGATGCGGGTGGATGTGAGGGTTTGTGTGCTGGTCGTCCAGTATCACGTCTGGATGGCTTGCTGGCCGGCAGTAAGTAGGTGTGAAGGTGGCTCTCTATGTGTATGCGTGTCTCTCTCGTGTGCACATCTACCTGTCCCTCTGCCTTGATTGTCAGCTATCCCCATCAATCGCTACGAGCCGCGTAAACACAGTTCCGAGTCCGGCGCATGCATGTATGTGTATAGGTATGTATGTATATCCGGACTTGCTCGGAGCCGGTTGAATCTGGGATCGTGAGTTCCCCGATACTAGATCCGCGCGAGACGCTGGGTTGAACATAGTAATTGCAGGTTTTCTGTCTGCGAGCTGCAATTAAAAAGACAAACTGGTGGGGGAAGCGGCGTCGAACTTGGTTGCATTCTAGCAAGGAGGGAAAACTCTTCATGGGCGCATTGCATTCAAGGGGGAGGGGCTCGGCGACTTTGCGATGGGCTGGTCTTTGCTTGTGACCTTGGGATTTGGAGGGTCAGGGTTCATGTTCGCTTTCTCTAGATGGATGACTTGGTAGACTGGTTAGGTTGCGGTCTTGATGGTCGGGAGGGAGAAAGCTTTAGGAGTTGAGGGACTTGGTTTGGGGCGAGAACTTAGACATAGAACGAGTGTCCATAGACTACGAGTACAAGTAGCAGCGGCATCTGTGGTTCACGGACACGAGCATACTCCAGGCATACTGAATGTATATATATCCGATTGGAGAAGAATAAAAGAACATCGTAAACATCTCGAATAATTGCTTCACGCTCATAATGCAGAACCCAACTCATCAGATCTTACATACGACTCTTCATTTACAGCGTCCAATCATCCACTCCCTCCGAGCCCTCAATAAATGGCCGATCAATCTGCTTAATAGCATGGTCGCCGCAGAGGATACTGCCGTGCTTGTTAGTGACACTTTGAAAAGCCCCAAGCCGGCGCAAGAAAAAAAAACATACCATGCTTCCGCGATTAACCCATCGAGCTCACGTACAACTTCCTCTCGGCGCGCCGCACTGAGCGTCCCCTTATTGAGCTGTGCCTGCAAGTCGCGGATATACTTCTTCTTACCCCCGGCGCCCTCAAGAACCTCTTTGCCCAAGCAGTCGCTGTGGAAAGCGTGCTGACACGGAAACACAAAGAATTGTCGGCTGAGCACGGGCAATGAGCAGAGCCAGCACTTCTCCCCAGGCTCCACGATGGCGTAGCGCGTGTCGAGCGCCGCAATCTCCGTGCGGATCTGCCGGGCCGTGTGCGCCGAGTTGTCCATCTCCTGCCGCAGCCGGTCGATATGCCGGGAGTAATCCTCCAACGCACTGCAGATCTCGTCCTTGAAGTCGTCGATGACGACAAAGTCCGGGAAGAACGGAATGAGGTCCTCGATGCGGAGCAGCTCGCATCGGCGAAGGAATTCAATCGCATCCTTGATGCCCGTTCCGGGCTGCCGGATCTTTTTCTCTGCGACAAGGAGCCAGAGCTTCTTTCGGAGCTTGTCGTTTCCTTCCGGCCGGTCGGCCACAATTGCCGCGAGCTCAATGTCTTCATGCTGCAAAGCCAGCTCCACCGCTTGAAGATATTGCCCCATGGCGCTGTAAATGTGAACGCACGATTGCACGCGCTGGTGTTGGATGCAGAGACGCAGGGCAAAGTCGGCATCATACGGTGGAGGCGACGATTGTTGTGATTGCAGATACGTGAGAAGTCCTGCCTCCGACGTCGAGGGGCTGGAGGCATGAATCGATATAAGGGTATTGTGGACGGCGGCGGATGGGTTTGGGTGATTGACGATGATGAAGTTGAGGTATCGTACGGCCTGATTTTGCCCCAACGGGACATTAACCGTCTTGTTATAATTGAGTAAAGCAGGTATCAGTCGCTCCGGCTCCAGATTGGTCTGTCGCATCAAGATGTCGACCAGCCCGGCAGCAGCATGTGTCATAAGGACACTGCTATATTTGTAGAACACGTCCGGGTCACTTTGCCGTTGCAGGACATTGAGTGCCTCGGCCCATTTTTCTCGCAGGGTCCAGTAAGAGAGAACGTAGTTGTAATCATTGACTGTTGTAGCAAAGAAAAGCAGCTCCTCTTCGCGGCCGTGGCTGCTGACAATATCGTACGCCGTTTTCTTGTCCAGATCGGACCGATACCGAATGACGAAATCCTGGAACTCAGCTCGGACAGTGCTCAGCTCATCCTTAACTTCCTCTGTGCTGGTTCCCTCGGCGAGCTCTGCTCGAGTAGCGATGTTATCATCGAGGGAATTCAACTTTGTCATGAAGACCTCAACCAGCCAGCTTGCGACCATGATCCGTTGCATCGAAGAGGACTTCTTGTAGGTCGATAGCTGAGACAACAAGTACTTGCGCAACGCATCATGCTCTCCACGGTTGATCAATGTCAGACAGACCTCTTCAAAGCCTTTGCTGCTCTTGCCCCATACGGCGGCCGCCTCGAGATAGCGGCCTTTGTCTGCTAGGTAGTCACCTGAAGCCGTGGAGACGGCATCTTTTTGAGCACTGGTACGGGCGTATTTCAGAGCTTGGTCAAACATCTGCTTCTGTAGGTATACCTTCCACACATCTCTATCCTCGTCCTCAACTGCAATCTCGTAGATCTCTCTGCTTGTGAACAGCCAGTAAGTATGTTGCGTCGCGTCCGTCAAAAGACCCAAGGCACTTTGTCCTGGTTCCAACACGGCCTCATCAAAAACGATCTCCTCGCTCATCCGATTCACAGCCACGATCCTTCCCTCAACCAAGGCAAAGATATGCCATTGAGATAACGTCACCGCTGTGATTGGATCCTGAATGAGCTTCTTCCCCCCTCGCGCAGATTCGCTCGCAGGAAACAAAGACCGTGAAAGCATGCTAGCAGTCTCAAATGGTTTGCTGAGCTTATCAGGCGAGTACTGTAGTTGGCCGTGGAAGACGCCGTGAGAACTGAGCCACGCGAATTCCTTGTCCGTCACACCCCCGGTATTCTGTGCATCTGCGAGGATTGGCGAGATCGCCAACATCGATGGGGCGGCGCTAGAGGGCTTCTGGATCTCATGGGTCACAGGCGCCTCGCGCTGGAATAGATCGGCGTATACAGGGCTGCCTCCTTCGCGTCCGTACCTCCCGATGCGTCCCAGGAAGCTTAGCAACTTGCCGTGTGTCGCTATTAGCACCCGCCTCAGCTCCGGCTTCCCTGGAATCGACTCCGTCCACAGACCCGTGACAGGCGAGCCCTCCAGAGACTTGAAAACAGCATGCGCATATCTCTCTTCGCGCCGATAGAACTCGCTGGATGGCTCAATGTAAGCCTCCCAGATCTGCCCATCCGTAGTACCCAAGAGAATCTCTCTCGTCGAAGCTGTTGGGTGTGATGGACTCCAAGCGATACTTTCAATCGAAACGCCTTTCATTCGCGACAATGGCCTGGGTTGACGGGATTGACTGTGGAGGTAGTAGTTCTCGCCGAGGGTAGTTGTGATGATGAGATGGGATGCAGAAGGATCCAGGAACATTCGCCGGATCACGCCAATCTCTGAGGATTTCTTAGGAAGGTCGATATCTGGTCCAGAAGCTTGATTAGCATTGCGACGAAAGAGGATGCGGAGCGGTGGACTCATTCCGTCACTGGATCCAACTAACCATCTATGTCCTCGGGCGTATCCAGATCGATGCGAAGAATGCGCCCGGTTGACAAAGCTAGAACGAGCACATTGTTGGCTACCTGCGCGGCCACAAAGTCCGCTGCGAGAGGGAATTGAAGCTGAACATGTCGGACATCGAACATGGACAGCGCGGAATCCCCAGCTTCTGCGAGGTTGCTGGGAGCAACATAACCGCCAGACGTCTCCAGCGCCATGGTGCGCCAATGATCACTATCCAGTTTAGATCATAGCGGAACCGCAAAGAACAAAGCTTAAGTCAAGCTGGGAAGACAATGTCTGGCGCCCGAAAGTGGCTGATAATGACGAGTGGAGGATGGCTGGATTGGGGAATTGGGGGGAAGCTCGGGCGGTGGATGCCTTGGCAGATGTCTGCCTGAGGTATGCAGGCTGCACCCCATACAGCTACGGAGTACGGAGTAGCACAGGCAAAGAAGCCAACATCACCATATTAAACATTAGCTCGCCTCGCCATAGCTAAGCTATAGAGGCTAGCTAGAACTATTACTCTGCTGTCTTGGTATGCTGTCTATCTAACGCCGACGTATCTTCAAATCCCAGACTCTTCATAACACATAAACCATGCATCATCGCTAAGTATTAATGACCTCCTGCCTTGCCCTGCCAACCATGCAACCTTCGAATCCAGAGATAATGCTGTACAAAAAATGAGAAACAGTGGTGTAAGAGAAATGCAACAAGTCTAAATACGTCATAGATGACCGATTCACATAACTGTGCACTCCCGGTCCAATTTCCGTCCGATCTTATCGCGAGATTTGTCTTTGAGCTTATCCCGATATCGTTCTGAGTCTCGAGTCCGCCTTGGGCTTCTGTCCTTGCGTTCAATGTTTGGCGGTGGGAGTCGATCATTTGGGCCAAGCTCGTTCTCCGTTAAGTCTTCATCTTCGCCCTCAGCGAACTTTTCCCGACTGAGTCGACCAGTAAACCGCGAGAAGCTAAAGCTGATCCTGTTTTCACTGGCTTGACTCCCAGTACGGCTTCCAGGATTGCTCCTTGTTGCCCTGGAACTGCGTCGAGAGAAGGAAAATGAGTTCCTGCCTTCGTCATCTCTAGGCGTCAGCCTAGGTGAAGTCGACGGAACAGACCGCATCTGGACGCCGGGCTCAAAAGCTTCGGAAAATGTCACGCTTTGCTTCCTTCCATTATGTTCCACAGGTGTAGGCTCGGCTTGATCTGGGCTGGTAATTTCGAAACTGGGCCGACTGGATCTGTGTCCCTCCATGCCATCGATGATTGTATTATCCAGAGCAAGTGTCTGTAACTTCCTATGCATGTTGACCGCATCTGAATCATGTGAGTCCCTGGAAGTTTCCGATGACGGCGGCTTATGACCTAAGTTAGCTGCCGCTGCATCTTCATGGATGGGTAAAATCTGGTAGAACAAGAGATAAGGTGATTCAGTCTTTAATGCATGCTCAATGTCGATCAACGTAACTCGCTCGCTTGCTAGGTCATCAAACCTCATCCAATATTTGGGGGTGTCCGAGAAGGTGTCATCTTCCGATCCATGAGAGCTGGCTGGAGGTGCTCCAGCGCTGGTGCCCCTGACAATGGAAATATAGTGTCCTGAATCCACTGAGGTTCCCCGGTGGCAGACCATTGCTTGCAGCGATAGCTTGAAATTCCCATAGATCGGGCCTTCCTCATTCATGTTATCATCCTTGATGAAATGAGGCAGCCCAATCTCAGTTGGAATATCAACAAATATGTTCAGTCTCACTGCTTTGCCATTGGGCAGCATAGAATAGCGTTTCAGGCACATGCCAAGCATTGGACGCTTAGAAGAGAAATGCGCGGCGACTTGGGCGTCATTAGTCGGTGTGTTGTCCGTATACCACGCTGTAAGCCGTTAGCACGTGTCTTGTGGCCTTGTAAGACTGACAATTCATACGTATCAGACTAAAAAATTGCCACGCAGGCATCATCACTTCTTTCCGATAGGAACCTCGTCGTTGAGATGTAAGCACGCTATCCTTGTCCGTCCCATTCTCTGCATCGGGTATGAATCTTTCTTGAAGAATGCTGTTGCGACGATAGGAGGGAGGAGGATCTGATTCGATGACCTCTGTCAACGAGTTCACGGGTGTCATTTCATCCCAGCGCGGCGAGGGTGGCTGGCTGGAAGAAGGTGATAGCGGGGTGCTGACTTCCTCGACGTGGGTTGTGCAACCTTTGGAAAGGGAATCCAGAGACTTAGTCGAGCCAAACGTATGGCGCCGTTCCATATAGCGTTTCACCTCAATTTTGTTGTTGAAGTATGACTCCAAGCAGTCTTCCAGTGTAACCGTGTCGCCGTCGACAGGCTCTGGGATCGCGACCTCTAACAACCTTTCATTGACAAATTTATGATCGCCGCTGACGTCTTCCTTTCCTGTGTGGTAGATATCCATTTTGAGTGTGAGGAGTGGAAGCTCGAGCTTTTCTGTGATGAAGGTAAATGCCTCGGACGTGTCCTGCTGCCGTAGTCTCGCTGCATCTTCCCAACCGCATTCGGCGAGTGCATCCTGCAAGTGTTTCGTCTTCGGTGCACGTCAGTTGGCATGAAACAGAAGACAAAGTAGAGAAGATTTGCGTACAAGATCGGTGGTTATAAGCTTTCCGGATCGCAGCATGTTGACCCAGAGCCTTAGTAAAATTGAAAGTTTCCGACGGGACTCATCGTTGAAAGATTTATAGAGAATAGCTTCGAAGCAGTCCAGCCGGGCGAACATCGCGAAGAGTAGAGCATCCAGATAGCAAGTAACGCCTTCGCGATTCACTGCGCCGCGCAGTTTAGTGCTTGGTGTATAGCCCCGTATTATACCCTCGATCGAGTCCTCCAAGAGTAAAAGCAACTCAAAAGCTTTGTCCACATCGCCTTGCGCATGTTCGGACTGAATCGCATACACGAAGTGTTCTTCCTTCAGACCAGTAATGCCGAGCCGCGCGACACGTTGCTCCAGAATCTTAATCTACTAAACCGTCAACGAGGGCGTCCGGCAGGAAAAGTGTGCGATGAGGCTTCAATCCTCACCTTCTTTTGTTCTTCGCTTGCGTCTGTGGGAGGAATTTTATCTGATGAGAAGAGGCCTCGAAAGTGAGGACGGGACAGGACATTTGACGCCTAAAGTCGCAAACTCCATTAGTTTTCGGCTGCGGAAAAAGAGAGGGAAAAAAGATGAAGCTTTTCAAGAACCGTGCATACCTCGTCTTTCGCATGTTTTCCATCTTTATTGTTTCGCTCACGCCTGGTGAGAAATTTGTGTATACCACTCATCTTTCACAGTGCATGAATCCTAGCTAGATGGGGGAAAGAAGTGCGCAAGCGTGCAAATTGCGGAGTCGACGATGAACCGACATGTGGGGGGATCTATATTGATCCTTGCTCAGGCTCCAGAGTTCCGATCAAGCATGCGAAGATAGCGCCTGGTTGAGTCATAACACAGAATCAGATGAAAAAGATTAGGCGATGACCTTTATTTACTCCATTCTATCAGCATTCTTGTCTTTTCTTTTATGAAACCACGTAAAGACAGATTGGGTAGCCAGTTGGTTACCTCGTAACTCTTACACACCAGCTGAAAGCGAAGCCAGTGACATCACATGCGCCACCACAATGATATGAAAGACGAACAATGAACGACGACTGAGCAACGCGGCAAAAATTGACTGGGATATAGACGAGGGAGGACAGGAGATGCCTGTCAGAAGACCATAGCACCCGATCGACAGCGAGATCTCCGGTGGCCAGTTTCACGGAGGCCTGCGATAAGCCAGTCAGTCTCGTTCTAGTTCCCTCTGTTCGGTCGGACAGCTTTCTGGTCAGTGGCGGGGATGACGAGCCGTGATCACATGTGGAGCCCGCGCGGGAGAGAGGGGCAGAAATGCAAGATGCGCGGCCTGATCTCCCCGCCAGATCTCTCAGGCAGTCAGGCAGTCAGGCAGACAGGCAGACAGGAACAGGGTCACATGATCGTCCGCTTCTCCCCCGAAAGAGTCGATGCATCTCCGGTGCGGGAAACAATTTTTGGGAGTCCCAGTCTTGACTCGAATCTCAGCCCACAACATCCCCAGGAGTTCTCATGGCTGCTAGCGAGTCCTCCAGATACCTGGCAAGGTCGCTGCCACGGGCGTTGGCGCCCTCTGCTCGCCCACATACCTTGTGCTGGCGCCGCGATGCCTCCGATCAGGCCTCGTCGAGATCTCCATCCGTCAACGACTTGAACGAGCTGGAGACCATTACTAGCCTTTCCTCCACGACGCCGCCCGCTGAGATTGTGGAAACCTTCGATCCCATTGCCAGATCTAGATCTCGCAAGACTCAATTGCCTCGGAGTCGGTAGGTCTCCCTCCCCCTCAGCCGCGCTTTCACCACTCGGACTGCGCTCGCAGCGATCATTGATTTTGTTGGCCCCCGGGGCCTGCCTCCCCGTTGTCCCATATACTAACCCAACTTCCAAATCTCAGTTATCAATTCCGATCTCCCAAATACTACCGTGGTCCGCTCCACCCTCACCAGCCTCCTCCTCCCACCGACCCTTCTTCCCGACTTTTCGTCCCGGGCCCATTCTCCCTTCCCCGAGTAGAGCAGACCTGGCAATCGACCGTCGCATCGGACATCCTCAGCCTGCTCTATGTCCACAACCCCCCGGGCTTCAAGCCGCCGGTCAAGGCGCCCCGTCTCCGCAGCTGGGACGACAGCTCCCCCTACCACAAGAACCGACCGCTTCGTGGTCCGCGCGGTGGTGACGTGCTCCGCCTCCTCCGCAAACCCATCGACTTCAACAACGTCCCCAAGCTCGAGCGCATCACCATTCACAGCTACGTCAACATGGCGACGGAGAGCTCGTCCTGGATCCACACGGCCGGTATCGCCGTGCAGGCCATCTCCAACGTGCGCGTGCAGACCTACAAGTCCAAGGCCAGTGTCGTGAAATGGGGCATCGCCCCCGGCCGCGACACCGTGGCCTGCAAGGCGGAGCTGAGCGGCGAGAACATGCTGCACTTCTTCGGCAAGCTGGTCGATATCGTCATGCCCCGTATCAAGGATTGGCGGGGTATCAAGGGTAGCAGTGGTGACAGCAGCGGAAACATCACCTTCGGTCTTGACCCCGAGGCTGTCGCTCTGTTCCCGGAGATCGAGGTCAACTATGACATGTAAGTTGCTCAAAGCTCTTTGGAAAGATCTATTCCATCTACTCCAGTCTCTTAGCAGTCAATGCCCATGACTTCCAACGGGCTTGAGCGGTGTCAAGGTCGTTGTGGATGGCAGGCTAACACCCGTAACACCAGGTACCCCCCCAAGATGATCCCCGGTTGCCACATCACCCTCCACACTACCGCCAGAACCGACAAGGATGCCCGTCTCCTGCTTAGCGCCATGGGAATCCCCTTCTACGGCAAGATCAATCACTAAATCATGGACGTTGCTCGCCATTTCCCAAAGTAGATACCGCTGCGCAACCAGTTTGCTCAATGATTGCACGGCGAGGTGACTCTTTTCCTTGCAGATTCTTGCCATAGGGTCATTTCTCCCAAGAGTGAAATTCTTTGTTTGGTCTTCTCTTGTTATTCTGGATATTTTTGGCTGGACATTGAAACGTGTAACATGGAGGGTATGTCTCTGGTGCTGTTAGATCTTATGTAAAATACGCCTTCTGCTTTCTTGATTCTGTGTGCATTCTCCCTTTTACAAGCCGTTCTACTGATTGTGAGACATAAAGTATGAAAATATTTTCTTTTCCATTTCGGTATCGCTGTGCAGGGTGTCTTCTCCTATACCAACCGCATAGACTTGTTCTCATATTTACTTTCTGTGTCTGAGAAGCAATGCCCACATTATTAACATTACATACAGGGAACCAGTAAGGATCCAAACAGGTTAGAGTGCTTTGTACACAGGATGGAGGACCACTTTCGCCTTATCCGGACAAATCGACTGCCGTGAATATGCCTGGCCTAAACGAATGGGCAACACGCAAGATGCAAATGCAAGAGCGGTAAGGAAAGAGTGAAAAGAAAAACCAACCATGCAGTGGATACATAGACAATGAGCGCGCAAAACGAAGGGGTATTGAAATATCAAAGTCCGAGCAGTACTAATAAGGGAAAGATAAATCCAAAGAGCAAAAAGGGCTGGGCTGTCATCAATCAATGCTTGACAGGAAACTATCCAGCAAGAGGAGTCTTCAAAAACGGGCAAGTGAGCAGTTCGTCTGCTGACGGCCTTTGCTCGTAATCCACTTGGAAGGTCTGATCCAAGAAATCCACGGCTTCGGCGCTGGCATGCTCGGGAGCCGGCGGCCTGGCCTTGTTGCTTCCAATTGCGAAAATGGCTTGTAATTGACTGCAGTCGGGGAATGGATGGGCTCCAATGAACATCTCGACCACCAAACAACCCAGACTCCAGATGTCAGCCTTCTTCGTGTGCGCCGTCTGACGAACCACTTCCGGTGCCATCCAGTAGACACTACCCTGCAACGAGGGGCGGTGCAGGTGACCACCACCAGTGCCACTGGCACGAGCACCGAGAAGAGTAGAAGCTTCCACTCGTTTTGAGATACCGAAATCGGAAATCTTGATGCCTCCTTTGTTGTCCACAAGGATGTTAGCACCCTTGATATCGCGGTGAATGATGTCACAACTGTGGAGATAGGACAAGCCCGCCAAAATCTGTCGAACGAAGTTCTTGATCAGGGGCTCTTGGAAGGTGTTGTACTGTTTCAACATCGTAGCAATAGATCCTCCTGGCACATACTCCAAGAAAATATTCAGATACTGGTCGTCTGCGGAAGTGCCCAGATATTGCACGATGTTCGGATGGTGCATCCCTTGTAGAAGCTCGATCTCATGCTTGAGGGCAGTGACCATACTGTTTTTGCGCTTGTCGAATTCTGTGCCCTTAGTCGCAGAGGGTATCTCGACTTGTTTGACGGCCATGAGCTCTCCAGTAATCGCATGGAGTGCAAGGAACACACTGCCAAAAGATCCTTCTCCAATCAGAGAACCTTTCATCCAGTTCTTTGGGGCGAAGTTGTTGCCCGCCAAAAAGTCTGTAAGACCATCATCCTGCTCTTCTCCATCTTCGGCCACTAGAACACTCAATCGTTCATTGAGTGAACCGCCGTCAGTTGCCGCAACGCTGGCATTCTCATCAAGAAGACTCTGACGAGAAGTTGTGGGATCATCAGAACCACTATCAAAGGAAACATATGACTTGCGGTTCGGCTCAATAGGCGACTCTTCCTGAAGCGGTTGCAGAGAGCTGGAAGCGATCGAATCTCTGTAGGACGGTGTTGGCAGGCTGAACTTTGACACGGAGAGAGGTCTCGACGAGCGGGTCGGTCCAGCATTGAGCCAAGTGTCGGCGATGCTCGGCATCGGCGGCGCATCCCTCAAACTAGACGCGTAGCTGGTGTTGCTGACAACGCTCAGGCGACTTGCTGCACGGCTCAGACGCTGCGACCTTCGGACAGACATGCGCATTGTCTTCTCAATGTCCTCCCGGTGGTGGCCTGGGAAGTAAGACGTAATCTCGTGTATAATCATCTCACTTGGGGGACGAGCACCGAAGAAGTGTCGCAACTTGGCAGCAGAATAAGCGGGGCCTTCCAAGTTGGCTGACCGCACTTCATGCTCGCTAGGTGTTGGATTTTGTCGAGACGAGACAGGAGACATCGGTTGTCTGATGTTAAGCCAGGATTCGCCGGTCAGCTGCTGGATCTTAAGCTGGTTGCGCACATTAGAACTGCTCAAAGCGTTCATGTGAGCAACCTGGCTTTCATCTACCGCCAGTTGCGAAGCCCGACGGAGCTCATCCGTATCTGGTTCTCCAGCATGAATCTTGCGAAGGATAAGACGACCTCGCTCTGGTCTGTGACTATTTTCGCATATCTCCATAAGCTCATGGTCCGCGAGCCTCCTGCAATTGGAGGGATCGGGTTCCAAGCCATCCATCACATAGAAGCAATAATTGCGATACTGATGCTCGGGAAGCTGCAATTTTTTCAGAACGCACAGAATAATCTCATCCGCCGTTTTGCAGTGCTTGATGTCAAGCACCTTGGTCTGACCACCGGTGTATATGACTCTGATGACAGGCGAGTTTGTCGGCAACTGTCCCATCGTCAAGCCATCCAGGCTCGGGTTCTGTCTCAAATGCGAGCCATTCCGATTGTTGTGACCGTTTTCGCTCGGAGTGCCTGGCTTTCGGGTGGTGATTGACCCAGCAGATGGTGGATGACTGAAGTATCCTGATCCCTGTTCCTTTCGCCCGGTTTCCATCGGACTACTTGCGACATACTGTTGAGCACGGAGAGGCGATCCGGGTCGCGATGACGACCGACCGGCGGAGTAAGTATGAGAAGTAGTTTCGGCTGCTCGAGACGTGCGGCGTGCACTCGTTGTTGGGCGATGATTGGACTGGCGGGCTGTCCCGGATGAGGCGGCTGTGTAAGTTACGGCTTCAAGCGCAGCCAATTGGTTCTGGTTTCATGTTGAGCATGGTATCTTTCGGGCAGAAAGCATAGTGTCAGGCTTACCATCGTTCTTTGTTTTCTGTTGAGGACGGATTTGTTTCTCAGTTGCTTGATGGCGACAAAGATTCGGACGCGGTCGCCAATCTTCTTGATGCCCATCTCTTGCAGAATCTTTTGATCACATTCAATAAGATTATTGCCGTTGACATTGTTCGCTATGTATTGTCAGTCTAGGCAAGAGACTGGTAAGGAGCCCTGAGGCGCGGATTGTTGCAGTACCTTTGAACAGAGCTTCATATTGACCACAATTTATGCTGTGAAGCCAAGCAATAACCTGCTTCTCGTCCCAGGACCTGGTATAACAATGAGAATTTTGATCGGCCACAAAAAAGGTACATCTGCATGACAGACTCACCGTACAGCATCCAGGCCGTCGGGCTGGTCCGAAAAATCTGACTCCGTCGGACTGGCGAACAACGTGCCATTCTGAGGATCGCCGAGGCTAGCGGTCTTCTGCGCCGCGCCAGTGTAGTAAGAAGTTGTCGGAGTCTGCGTGGATTGCAGGCCCAGCGGGTTGTATGTGGCCTTTGCTAGCATATTTGCGAGGGTCCGCGGGCACTGCGAAAGGTAGAATAGGTTCGAGATTCTCTAGTTGAGTTGAGGCCTCAGGCGAAGGTCTGAGCACCGGCGACCGGTAAAGAACCCCAGCTTATTTTACGGTGTCGTCGTAGGGTTCGAGCTGAACGATATATCCCAAAAGCCAACTGTGAGCGTTGAGATCTCGACTGAGATTTCGTGTGGGGTCTAATGCATGGTACGAGTTTGTTTATCTGGTTATGATGGTGCATGTTAGTGGATATAGCGCAGAAGTGGGGGAAGGCGATAGAGGAGCAATGCGACAGGCGCTCGGGGAAGAAGGAGAAGGGGGTTTGACTTACTGTTTAATCAATCCAAGAGCACGGGGACGTTTGGCAGCAGATTAGCACTAGAAAGAGTGGCTTCGTGATCTGCCTGGCCTAGGCTCACTTTGGCTCTCTTGCTCTCACACCAGGTGAGATGTCAGGCTGAGTGCTCTCAGGTACTTTGAAGCACTTCCCACACACTGAAAAGAGAATACCAACGATGGACCAGTCAAAGCGCCCAGGTTAGGCGAAGGCAGGACTGATCGCAGCTATAGCCGCCGAATCCAAGTCAGAAAAGGCTGGGGGTGGTGGCGGTGGAAATAAGATAGAGAAGTGTGAAAGACGAAAAGGGGAGGGGATGGTGGGCGAGATAGGCAGACAAGACAGGTTGAGAAACAGACAGCCACCTCGCCAGTGTCTGAGCACATTCAAACTCCCTCTCTCTCTGTCTATGTCTATCGGTCTGGGTCTCACAGTCTCATAGACGGAGAAGATGGTTTAATGGATCTGAGAGAGCGGTGTTAGGCCGATCCATCGGGGACGATGGGCACCTCCGACATGGCGTCGACTGCGGGATCATTCTCAAACACGCCGCCGACGGCTGATTTGTCAAGGGCGCCCAAACCTGAAACAATGAACCCAAAAAGGCCCCCCCTTCGGACTTGAAGTTCTCTCTCTCTCTCTGCTTATCATTGCCCGCCCATCCCCGCCTAACTATTCTTAGGGGAAGTTCCATGGTTTGCTGCTGCGAGAGGCTTGGTACGTGCGGGAAAAAAAAACACTCTCGGCTCATGTTAAAACCCACACCAAACCACAACAAACATGGCTTCTAGTTATTCTTTCATTCTTGTGAACTTTATGGTAGTGACAACTGCCGACTCTCAAGTCAAAACAGAAACACATGCCGGGCTGGCCACAGCTTAGTTCAAAAGGCTGTGTCATGTATGTACTATACTAAGTATGTCGGTCGGTCGGTTGGTCGGTCGGTCGGTTCCCAGTTCCGCGGGGGTAACAATAGTAAGTAGATTGATTGATTGAGCATTGGACCGGGCACCAACACTTCACCCGGAGATTTGCCAGATACCGGTTCTTGTACTCATGGTAGTAGAGGTATGAGTTATATGCACGTCATTCTCTCTACTAGTAACCACGGGTGACTGAACAGGTTCACAACATCCTTTCTGTTATTCAAGGGGCAGTCGTCTAGGTTGATCCTACGCCCTGAGTCCCTCTCGCCTGACTCGCCAAGCTTCGGCTACGGTGGGGATGGCTTCATCGTTGAGTCGCCTCCAACTGATCCTGTCTTGTCAGTCTGGTCATCCTGCAACACAGAGAATAGGTTCGAGCTATTCTGGACAGATACTGTCGGTTAGGGAGTGACCTTGAAGAAAGGGGTAGTCTAGGCATCATTAGATGATGCATAGAAACAGCGAAGGTTATAGTATCAGGTCCAGCCTATTCAAGGTAACTCGTGCGTCCCTAGTTAAGGTTCACCCGACTCTCGTATATATATTTAGTTATTGACGTGTTGGCATCTTTGTCTTCATGAGTCAAGGAATGTGTTGAATCTTCTCCCAAGAACCCCACACGGACTTGCCTCATCATGCGAAAAGGGGCTGCTCAAAGGACAAGCAAGCTCTACATGGGGATCATGATGCACCCTGAGTAACAATGCAGGTAGTAGGAGTAGTAGGGCACAGAATTTCGAAGACCTGACTTACTCGGCGAAGTATAAGTACTAAGACATGTTTGACGTGTCTGCGCATCCTGTCAGCGTTAGAAGACTAAAGTAGGGTTTCATGTCTAGCCTTTTGATGAAGCAATTATCTCTCCGTGGGTTGAACGACAATTTATAGATCTATGTGCCGACGAGTACACCAACTCACATTCCTCCCCGACCCCTCACCTTGCTCTTTAAAAATTGAATTCTTGGTGAGAATGGGGATAAACCGTATGCCCCCATTCAATCTCCCGCAAGCTAAATGAGGGAATGAGGAGACTGTTCAAGTGTGTTGATCACCCCAAGTGAACATCTCCGCACCAGTGGGGATGGCGGAGTCGCTTGATCGCAGAGGAGTTATGCACGGGGACGGTGGTTAGCTGCGTGCAAAACTGCCAAACGGGACAATGCAGCTGCGACACTTTTGCTTCAGTCCGAGGGGACATGCATCACGTTTGGGAGCGGGGAAAGATTCCCCGAACAGGCTATAATGACCATTCGTCTGTGGCAAGCAGGCAGACAGACAGACGTCCTTTCCCATGGTAGGTAGATCCTGGAGGACTGTACAGTACAGTACGGTCCTAGTTAGTAGGGCTTGGGACTTTCCGGTCGGGGCATTGCTCCTGCCACGTGACCCTCTCTCGCAAAACCCCCTCATGTCGACCCCACAGTTTTTCTTCCCCGCTCGCCTGTAATCCCATCCAAAAGGACATGGTCCAATTCCACGGCCATTCGCCATGGAGGACGAAAGAGCCAACCCAGGCAAAGTGAGGAAGAAGAGTGCCCCGACCCATCGCAAGTCTCTGTCCTGTGAATATTGCAGCAGATCGTTTGCGCGCCTGGAACATCTTCAGCGCCATCTCCGCACCCGTTGAGTAACCCCCGAGAACTCTCCTCAGCACGATCTTGCCAGTCTACAAATGGGATTCTAATCGTCTGCATTGCTTAGACACCAAGGAGAAACCTTTCTCATGTGATATCTGTTCCAAATCATTTGCTCGAAGGTATGCTTATCATCCCCGTGGCATCCACATCCATCCGCGCTAATATGGGGGGATTTTGATAGTGACCTGCTCGTACGACACGAGCGGCTAGTCCACCCTACCGAAACCGCCGCCAGTCGAGACCATCGCACGCAAAACAACAGCCAGGATGTGCCCCAGACGCCATCATCTATAATCCAGCCTGCTCACCATGAGTCCCGTATGCTAGAGCTTGCCGACGCTGTCCCACTGCATACGCAACCTGTTCCGCAGCCTCCGCCAGAGGTCCAAGTACAACCTCCCCCGATAGTGGAAACAACTCACTTCAATCCATCGTGGGGGTACGACCTGAATCTGCTCTCGCATGCAGCAAGTCATGTTGCCCTTGAGGGTGAACAGGAGAGTCTCGAGTCGATACGGAAGTCTTCACAAAACGTTGCGCCTCCTCAGCCGCTCGCCCACATCCCAGAAAGAGCGATAACTGATAATTATGGCGTGGAACCGTCAATCTTAGACCTTGCTGATCTTGGTGACCCGGTTCAGGACTTTACTGTCTTCTTGGAGAGTGTCGGGCTCTCTTCAGACTGGGACTCCGGGGTGTTTTCCACTGTCGAAGAACCCATGTTGCCGACCACACTTCCAATGGAGTCTAAGCCCTCTGTTCGCGAAATGGGAAGGCTCGGCCCCGAACTTCTGAGCGATCCACGAACTGCAGCGGAAGAAGCACCTTCGTTCTCGAATTTCGGATCACGGCTACCATCCCTGCAACCAGAACCGCATGAAGTAGATGATCGCCTTGGCTTCGCGGATGAGGGACCCCGTGCCGCGTGGGATATAACTAATGCGGACCGCCAAGTCTTTGTCGCTAAACTTGAGGAATTTGCTTATATACTGCCCAAGAACTTTGTGCCACCCTCGAGACACGCTTTGTCTCGTTTCTTCGCTGGCTATATAAATGGATTGAATGAACATCTCCCCTTTATCCATGTTCCCACCCTTTCTGTCGCAAAATGCTCTCCAGAGCTCACTCTTGCATTGGCAGCAGCTGGATCCCATTACCGCTTTGAAAACAACCGAGGGATCGAGCTCTTCCATGCCGCAAAAGCCATTTTGCTCCAGCGTCTCCACAGAAGAGACAGCAAGCAAGTTGCCTGTCCGACATGGAACTTTTTATCACCGGGATCGGGCTTTCATAATTCTCGTGGCTCTTCCACCACCTCTAATCATGCTAGTAGCCCGTTCCACCACCATCAACAGCAGACTCACCATCACCACCACACCCCGTATCCAACAGACGCATCGGGTTACTCTGCGGAGGATTCGGATGCCCACATGGAAGTCATTCGAACCTTCCTACTGCTCACGGTATTTGCTTCCTGGGAAAGGCACCCTGAATTATTAAGGGAGATCCTCTCGCTCCAGAGCACTTTGGCAAGGCTCGTGAGAGAACATGGTCTGTCAGAGCCGCCTCCTAGCTCCGATCCCAACAACTGGGAAGAGTGGATTCGGAGAGAGGGCAACAGACGCACGAAATTTATCGTGTATTGTTTTTTCAACCTACATTCTATCATGTACAATATCCCCCCGCTGATCCTGAACGCAGAGTTGAAGCTGAACATGCCGTGCTCGCACGATGTTTGGAAAGCAACCAATGCGGCCCAGTGGCGGCGGGTGGCTCGCATGCGACATGGATCTGAGGTCCCCTTCCAAGAGGCGTTTGCTAAATTGTTCCTCAAGTCGAATATGTCAGGCTCCACGGCACCCATATCTCCCCTCGGAAACTACATCCTCATCCACGCTCTCATCCAGCAGATATTCTTTGCACGCCAGCTGTGTCTCTCTGCACCGACCATGCAGGGTACCAGCCTGAGGGGGGAGGATCTGTCTGTTCTGGATAATTCTTTGAGCGCGTGGAAAGCGCTATGGAAACGCACTCCCGAGTCCAGTATCGACCCACAGAACCCGGCAGGTCCTATCGCATTCACGTCCACTGCTCTTCTTGGCCTCGCCTATATCCGGTTGCACGTGGATTTGGGGCCTTGCCGTCGCCTCATGACGCAGGATCCAGGTCAGATCGCGCGAGCCCTAGGTGAATCACCGCTTATCGCTCGGAGTCCTCGCCTGATTATGGCCTTGCTGCATTCTGCTCATGCTCTCTCGATTCCGGTGCGCCTGGGCATCGACTTCGTCGCGAGAACGCATTCTTTCTTTTGGAGCATTCAGCATTCCCTCTGTAGTTTGGAATGTGCCTTTCTTCTCAGCCGCTGGTTGCTCTCTATACCAGTAACCCACGCCGAGCAGAGGCTCTCAGACCATGAACGGAAGTTACTTCTTTGGATTAAGAGCATGATGGATGAAACCGACATGGCTGTCGATCCACCGGGAGCACCGGACATGGACTTTATCGCCAATCCATATAAAGCAAAGCAGCTGAGTGTCGCTATTGTTCGTGTATGGGCTCGAACATTCAAGGGAAACACTAGTTGGGCCATAGTAGATCTGGTCGGTTCAAGCCTAGATGCTTATGCTGACCTGCTTGAGACCACACCATGATCGCTCCGAGGCTTGGCAATTCCTGGGTTATACGCTGGCTTCCCTTGGGATGAAAAGTTGTTCATCACCGAGGGACTCCTAGCAATATTGAGAGCTGCTGGAAATCACATCCTTAATATTCATGGTCACCCACGTGGTTAAATTCCTGGGGAGAAGAAGATATACCATCTTGCTGTATACCCATGCTTCTCATTATACTTCCCTCGATCACCCTTGTATATAGATAGTTTATGATTTGCTATGTCTCGTGGATGAAAGCGAACTCCTGCGCTGTTGTCACTTGTCCTGACATGATTCCCACTCTGCCATGAGCGGCATATGTTCTGCGGCACAGAGGTATCAGGGCTTGAGAACGAAAAAGAACAGAAACGACAGTGATGCTCTTTTCTTTCATGTGGTGGTTGCTGCAGTTCCTTCTGGGAGGCACCTGGCTTCGCGTGGCCTGTTTCCCTATTTCAGCAAGGCGCAAAGAGTATGATTTACTGAATTATTCGGCGTCGAGATACCGCGATGAATCACAATCTTGTCCCGTTCGTTTGCCTGTTTCCATCTCCAATCCACCAATAGGGTCTTCTAAGCTGTATGCTTCTTTAGTGCAAGGTCAGGACCTCCTACCAACTCTGCCCTGGTGTCTGGTGACACTGGATGGCACAAAGCGCAGGGCAGACATGGACTTTTCCAGCTCGGCGATTTCCATCTCATCGGAGCCTTGGGCGGTTGCAGGTGTCGGCCGAGCACCCGAGCTCGAGGACACGGAAGTCTGTCTGTTCCTCAGTCGCCCTTCCTGGGGTGAGTTGGGAGTGGCAGATAAACGGCGCCGGTGCGTCTTGGTTGGCCGTAACAAGGAGGTCTGTTTATCGATGCCATCGTTGACTATGTAGAAATTGTATGTCTGCGCGTGTATCATGATTAGAACACAAGCCGAAAGTGCCGGTATGCGGCCAAGAGAGTGGGTGTGGCTGCTTCTCACCTTGGGAAACATATGCTTGTCGATGAGATGCATTCTGCGCTTCTGGGGCGTTGAGCATTTCCGCTCACAGTCCTCGATAAAGCAACCGTACTGGTTGACCAAGTCATCAGGGTCAGTGATCTACAAAGACGAGGGCAGGGTCAGGTATGGCGAGGCATGAACATACAGTCTTCTCGCCTCGTTCCCGCCGCGTGGCGACGATGGCGTCATGATTCTCTTCGATGTGAAGGGTGAGGAACCGATCCGTGGGGAAGTTCTTCCCACACTGGGAGCAGCGGTTGACGTGGGCCTGGCGGTAATGGACCTCGTAGTCTTCGTACGAGACAAAGGCGATGGTGTCCCGGTGCGGCGGGAGAGAGCAATGCATGACTTCAGCAACCGGAGCAGCTGTGTCTGGTAAGTGCATCTTGAAGCGTCCGAGAGAGGGCGCGGTGGAGGAAGCCGGGGATACCGGCCAGGACCCATCCTCAGACGACAACAGATCGGCGGTGGGTGAGCCGGAATCGCTACGCGAGCGCTTGGTGGACATGTTGGCGACTGCTGTCCTGCGTTTGAAGAGGAGAATGGCAGCAGTGATAGGTCAGTCGCGAGGTAATAGTTCACTCTGCAGCGATGGTGTGACACTTGGACCATCCATTGGTGGAAGGTCAATCTTACTACCTGTGCAGATGAGTTAGGATTTTGTTTCATTCGGTGGTTAAAGAGGGGTTTTAGTGTGGACTGTATAGAGTTATATCTCTAATAACCTACTGTTGGTCAAAGGAGCAGTAATTTGGGGAGATCGTCTTTTCAATGCATTTTCCAGAAGTGTAACTATACAGTAAGTTAAAACAGTAGAACAGTAAGCAAGCTGAGACTCGTTCTATTGGGCCACTAGCCGTCACCGCCTTCCGTGGAGGTCCATCCCGCAGTGCCCGCTGATTCCATCCTATTTTGTCTCGAAGAAAAGTTCCCTGGTGATAACTTAGTTCTATGGGTTTTTCCCTTCAGCGAGCGGCGGCCCTCAACCCCTCCGTTGTTCGTCCTTATTATCACCACCCTCTTCTTGGACTCCCCTATCACCTTTATTCTCATTATCTTCTTTATCTTGTGTGTTTTGCTGCCATTGGTTTCAATTCACCACCCCCCTCCCCCCCGCCCTGACGTTTGTGAACTGCGTCCCGTCCCCGCTCACCGCGCTCGTTCTACTACCACTAACTGATGGATCGTTCACTGCTCTTGTCGCCCGCACACTCTCAACCAGCCATAGCCATCTGACGGCGAAGTCAACGGTGGAGGTGACGCGGGCTCCGGTGATCTCATTCCCTGAGCATGGCGTCCGCGTTCCAGGATACGTGGCAGTCAGTGACCTCGCCGTGTTCCCGCGTGCTTTTCTTACACTGTGTTGCTAATATTCACATCACAAAGAACTGCGCTCGATCTTGAAAGAGAGCTACTAAAGAGCCTTGCCGAAAAAGAGCCCACGTTTGCTGAAATCTCCCATCATCTGTCGGAGTCAGTTTGGATCTCCTCTTTCCCGCCCTCCTCCTGTTGCGCGCAAACTGGTCTGACCTTTTGTCTTTTCTTCCTCGCCTGTCGCAGACTTCGCTCCGCTTGTCAAAATGCTATTCTCCAGGACCTCGACGCCGCCCGCTCCGTCGATGTCGAAGGCCGCCTGTGGGATAGTCATCTCAAGATCAACAATCGATTCCGTAAATTGCTGTCTCGCGTGAGTCTCTAACGGTGGCCCTGTCCGCTTCCGGGACGCCCGTCTCTAATTCGTGATGTGCGATGGCAGTTTCGTGAGGAGAACGGGAAGAAGAAAAAGCCGGTAGAGAAGAGGAAGCTCGAGAAGCATTACCTCGAATTCATCAAATCCAGTCAGCGGTTCTATCGAGGCTATATCCAGCAATTGTCCTCCCATGTCGGAGGGATCCCGGAGCTGGAAAAGGTTGCCCGGAAGTTCAATTTCGACAGTGAGCAAACCGCAGGTCCCGTCATCTTGGCCATTGTACCATCGTTTGGATTCCTAAACCCTTCACAGATCTATCGGCAGAGTCATCCTTGCAAGCTACTGAGGCCCTCAGAAAGCGCATTCTCCAGTCTTGTCACGCGACCTTGATCCGGTTGGGCGACCTTTCCCGCTATCGCGAAACTGAGCTGGTCACGAAGGAGCGCAACTGGGGCCCCGCAATCGGTTATTATGACCTGGCTACCCTGATCTACCCAGCCTCTGGTGCGTCGCATAACCAGCTGGCAGTCATTGCGTTGGCCGATGGCAACCATCTTCGAACTACATATCATTTGTACAGGGCTCTAGCAGCCCAGGAGCCCCATCCGCCAGCCAAGGGTAACTTGGAAATTGAATTTAGAAAGGTCATGAATGCATGGGCCAAGCGCGAGCTGATTCGCCCCGAAGACGCTGGTATTCCTGGCAGGGCATTGGCCCCTTGGTTTGTATATCTTCATGCGCAATGTTACAAGGGCGTTGACTTCCCTGAGCATGACGAGCTTGAGAGCGAAGTACTGAATCAGCTCGCTGTTGATCTCAAGGAACGCTCGCTCGAAGGCACTTTGCAGAAATTCGTTTTGATCAACATTAGTGCAGAAGAATTTTCCAGGACACGCTCGAATGGTAAGACTCCCGCTATCATTGATGCGCAAATTTTATCAACTGACCCAATACTTAGAAGAATCCGTGTCCAGTGCGCGCGCATTTTTTCAGCGTATCAATGTGAAGACGTTCTTCACTCTACTTCAGATTCTCCTTGCTGAGGTAGAGCGATTTGCCGCTGAAGACTCTAGCAACAAGGACGCGCAAACCGGTCCTGACAAGGTCACCGTAGTCGCCCGTCGGGTCCTTCCCGCACTTCGAAACTACAGTTCCTGGCTGCTCACAGTCAGCAACTTGCTAGCAGCGCATAAACAAGAAAAGGACACTCCTTTGGCAGTCCAGATCACGGAGTTTTGGAAGATATATGCTAACACATTAACTCTCCTGGCCTCAACTTTCGATGTAGTGCATCTTCCCGAAATCGACTATTTATTAGAGGAAGATGAAGAGACACTGGGCTTTGCGCCCTTGAGCAAGGGAACAACCTCGCGCAGATACCTGGATTCGAGTGGTCAGCAGAAGCCTCGAATGAACGACCCAGGAGTGGAACGTAATCATCCGAATATGGAAATGCTCTACCGAATCCGCGAATTTGTGATCGATGGCTTGGATCTGGTAGTCAGCAATAAAATACCTATCGCACTCGTCGATGACGAAGACAAGAAGACATTCATCTACAAGGAGGAAGACCTCCCCTCGCAATTCTTCGCCAGTCCCCCGGGCCACGCTCATACGCTATCCTCCGCTAGCATCGAACGGGACGAGATTCAGCAAGCGAACCGTGATCTTAGCCACGCTCCAGATGCTAAAAGTGTCTTCGGTGGATCGCAGGCGGCGTCCATGTCTGCTAGTATGCATCGTATTGTCGAAGGCGTGGAACGATTGGTGGATTCGGACACGTACGAGAATGCCCCGAGCGTGCCAGAACGCCTGACGTTCCCCGCGAGTGGTAGTCGTCAGCGACCGTCAAGTCAATACTTCGACACAAGCACGGAGGCGATCTTCCGCGAAGACCTTCTTCCTCGGCAAACCCCAATGGCCCCTCCTGGACTTGGACCGCCGATGGCCAGTGGCTCGGCTCCTCTTGTCCGTGTCTCGTCATCCCAATCTTATACTCCTCGCCCTGCGCTTCCCAGCATCCCCAGCATTTGGAACACAGCCTTATCCTCCGGTCTCGGTAGTGATGCCCCATCTCCCCGGACGCCTCCTGGCCTTGGGCATCAATACCCAGGTCATTTACTATCCGGAAGCATCGGCAGCCCTTCAAGCCACCACACATCCCAAGAGTCTTTCGCGAACGAGCTCATGCTCCGCCAAAACCTGGTGAGCCAAGCCCAAGCTGCTCAACTCCAGGGTTCTCTACACCACATTCCCGGTCCCGGCTCAGTTCCCTCTTCATGGCTGCCCTCCTCCAGTCCATCACTTCAGAACCACCGGCTCTCCGGCCTTGCCTGGGACCGGGCGCTTCTGGATGCGGGCACCGGCGAGGGATCAATGGCGCTTCCCGGCCATCCGTCAGCATCAGCACCAAGCCTGGGTTCCCCGAGCGGCCTAGTCAACGCCTCCTGGGCCAACGACGCCTTCCTCGCTAGCACATTGTCCTCCGGTGCAGGCTACCCTAGCTCTTCTAGCTTCAATAGCAGCGCTCGCAAGGCCCCTGCGCAGTACGGTGCCATCGGTCAGACTACACCTCGCTACGGTCATGGTGGTTGATCTTATTGCCACCATGCTTGGTCTGGGAATTGAATCAGTTCAAGTCCGTTCAGTCCTGTGATGGGCAGCAAAGAGTGACTGTGGGTTTCTCATTACTTCAACTCATCTGCCTGTCTCTTGGCCACTCGTTTCCCTTTTCAAAACGCCTCCTCGAACTGCGGATGTAAAAACGTGCGGTATGCCCGCGCGATACGTATACACACACAGCGGACACGAATCAGACAGAGCTCTGAAGAGTACGTCAGACGAATGGGTAAAGGAATATCATGATTCTTGAGAGGAACAGGGAATGAGCCTAGGCCAAAGACAAGACATCGCGCTAGCCCGATTGATCTATTTCGCCAGCTACGTTGTTTTTACTCTTTGACTCGGCTCGAGCGGATTGGAAGGGGTCGAAACGAACGTCGTACAATGAGGACGGGGAGACAACAAAAATTGTATGGCATGCACGCGTCCTCAGTCGGACTGCTTTCTAACTCAGAAGGGGAAAGGAGGCGGAGAGTGTGCAGACGAGAGGGTATTCCGCTGGGTTCCTCATAGCGCAAATACACTGTCTACAATATTGGTGATGCGTTCTTTCTAAAGCCTGGATGAGAACGGTTCAACGAGGCAAGCAGCAACATGTATCGAGCCGGTCTAGTTTTCCAAGCTCTACCATCCTTCTCCTTTGCGTGTAGTGAAACAACCTGTCACTTCCCGTTCTTATTCGGCTACTTTTCTCTCTTCCTTGTACTTCTGAAGCAGTCGTCCCACCCCGGTGATCGATTCTCTTTTCGTTTCGAGAAAATGAACACAGTGATCGGTTTCCCGAGGCAAGGCGAGACAGGATGGGAAGATTTCCGATTTATCTACGCCGTATAACTTGATTACTAGGCAAAATCATATGGTCATCATAGTTTCGTCGTTGAGAACGCCATCTGCCTACTCAGCCGATCTATCTCTTTAAATTCCATCGGAGTGAGGCACTTTTCACATCAGATTCATGTAGGGAAGTTTAAGCAATTCAGAAGCAAATATAAAAGATAAAATGGTCAAAGACGTTAAGTCAACGACGGGAAAATTTGGGTATAGAGGGTTGAATCCTAAACTAGAAAGGAAAGGTCTTTTTTTTTTCTTCTTCTACTGGTCGGTAGCCATAGACATATTGATGTATGTCCTCAGTCCCGTGATGTCGGACGAGACTTGGTTCAGGGATTGGTGTCGAGGGTTTTAGTTGGAGGGGGTGTAGGTCTGCTTGGGGAAGGGGAAACTATAGGCAGGGAGTGGAACGTTAGCCGGTCTCTTCCAGGAGTGGAATCAGGTTGTAGGCTGGGTTCATAGTGACTTACGAAGGTCCCAACTCCTGGATGCTGAGGGAAGCGAGCCACTGGCCGAGGTCGATGCTCTCCTCAAGGGACTTGCCCTGGACAACACCGGCGCAGAAACCACCAGCAAAGGCATCACTACAGATGAGTCAGATCAAGAGTTTCTCAGGTCAAAGTGGAGGTTCTCGAGTCTACTCACCCAGCACCGTTGGTGTCGTTGATGCTGCTCTTGGGGATCTCGCGGACGGGGAACTGCTTGACCTCGACTTCACCGTTGGGCTTGACGGTGGCAGCGACGGTGGGGTCGGTGCCCTGGGTCACGATGGCGACGCGGGGGCGGCTGGTGTTCTTCTTGGGCAGCTGAGCCAGCTTCTTGGCGATCTCGACAACATCGTCGGTGCCCCATTCGTGGCTCTCGGCGTAGGAACGAGCCTCGGTCTCGTTGCAGAAAGTGTAGTCGGTGTAGGGCAGGACGCTGTCGAGCTGCTCCTTGAAGAACTGGGGGATGAAAGGCGCAGAGAGGGACAGCATGAAAACCTTGTTCTTAGCAGCAGCCTCCTCACCCAGAGCCTGGATGGCAGGAACGCTGACGGTCAAGTGGTAGCCACCGACGTAGTAGAACTGAGCCTTCTCGACGAGAGACCAGACGTGGGGCTGCTTGAGGTGGTCGAGCTTGTACTCGTTGGCAGCAGCCAGGTGGGTGCACATGCTACGGTTGTGGCCGGTGATGATGACACCGCACTTGCCAGTGGGCTGAACATCATCAACGCGGTACTCGGTGTGGACACCGGCCTTAGTGCAGGCCTCCTTCAGGATGTCGGCGTACTTGTCTTTGCCGACACAGCCAATGTACATGACGGAGTTCTCGGGAAGGATGTACTAAATCCGCCGGGCGTTAGTCAATAGTCTCCGACGCCGAACGGAGGATGCGGAGCTCGTACCTGAGCACCACGGGCAGTGTTCTGGGCAGCACCACCGGCAATGAGCTTCGCGTCACGGCCAAGGAGCTCCTCATACAGACCCATGTGCTTGTCCTCGGCGAGGATGGCATCGTTGTCCTTCAAGCCGTACTTCTCAAGGAGAGCGGCATCACTGCGCGGTGTCGAAGATCAGTAAAGGTTGCATACATTGACACACAAGGTAAGAGAGCTGGCCACTGAGGGACTCGTGACTTACCCAACAGCCTGGATGTCTGTACAGCTCATCAATCTGATGTTAGTCTGACGATAACCCAGAATAGTGGGGGAGGTAAAGGAGGGGGAGAATCCCACGCACCCAGGAGAGGATTCTCGAGGCACAACAAAGAGTAACCCTGAGGAGCAGCCATTGTGACGGGATGAAGGGAGTGATGGGAGGAGAACGAAGGGGAAATAAGATGAATTGAAGAGAAAAAGAAGAGAGAGATGGGGGTGGAGGGAGGGGAGAAGGAGGGGAGAATAGCTTGTACTTAAATAAGAATGAAAGTAAATCCAAGTCGGTCCAACAACTCAACGGAGGGGCGGACTGAGTCTGATTGGACCAGAGCGAAGTTGGTCCGGAACTCCAACTTAACTTGTCCCGGAGCTGCGATGATCGCACCGCATTCCCCTTGAACTTCACCTTCAATACTGCTTCAATACTGGCTTGGACAAGCTTCTATACAGCTTCATCACAACTCAACAACACACCGGCACAATGACCCACCCCGCCATGCAAATTCCCGAGGTCATCCAGACGGCCTCGATCAACCGCAACCCATCGCCGGACCACGACATCAACCCGCCGACCGCCGCCTCCGAGAAGCAGCCCGTCGTCGAAGATGCGCCCTCCGAAGCTGACAGCATTCCTTCCGATCTCGTCGACCCCCGCCATATGGTCAAACCGACTCGTCGGCGCCATAACTTCCCCCCCTTGCCCGACTTGCGCTTCGAACAAAGCTATCTGGCCAGCTTGCGTGGCGCCGATACCTGGGGAAGAGTCGCGTGGATCACCATCAGAGACCAGGTGAGTACCATACCTCCTGCATATCTCAGACCCTCTGTCCAAAGACCAGAGCATCAAGCGTCCTGGAAGAGAAGCGTTCGAATCCAAAAGATGAGCCACAACCCTCCCCCTCGCTAACCTGCCCTCTTTTCCCTTCTAGGTCCTCCTTCCTCTGATGCAGGGCACGCTCTGGACTCTGGCCCTCTCCGGCTGGCGCTTCTGGAACCGCAATGCCTCTCTCAGCGGGCAGACGCTGGGCAGCAGAATCCGGCGGTGGTGGTACGAGGTCAATAACTGGAAGCTTCCCCCTCTGGGATCGGCCAGAGATCCTCGGGTTGCGGCCAAGGTCGATGACGTGAGTGTTTACAGAAAAGAATAGTCTTCACTTACCGATCTTCAATAATTAACAATCACTGACATTCTCGGAGTTCCTGCAGTTTTACACGGCCCAATTCTCCAATGCTGTCTGAACAGAAGAAAGAGGGGGAAAGAAAAGCTCCTCGCTTTGACCGGTGGCTAAGCAGTAGTCACGCTACCCGCTAAAAACTACTTCTTGTCGTTGGGTTTCTTGCATCTCGGGTGTTTAGCGTAACGGCGTTTTTGAATTCTATTCTCGTGAAGCGATGATATTCATTCGCAAGGCTTTTGTTCTCTCTTCGACATGGGAGAGGTCGTTGTCCGAAAGCCACCCCTGGATTTTTGCGCCAGAGGTATATTTCTCACGGATTGTCCAGTTAGTATTAGGTCTTCGCAACTAAACCTTGCAATTGTAGTTTTATGTACATAATGCACAAGTGTCTAGCTTTGATCTCTGAGCGGCAGCTTGTAAAATGGTTCAGAAAGTCCGTTCCCGGAGGATGAGACTAAATAGATGGAACACATGCCCAGAGACTCAGGTATCATCTTGCTTAAGAATATTGTATCAATTTCCACCCTCACCACTCCGGGGATTATTCACAGTGCTATCCCAACAGATTGCCTCCTTCCACAGATACAGAGAAACGCCTAATAAATAGAACCCTTATTTTGTCCTCGTACATTTGGCATTTGATAGAAGAAATCCGCCTTCAGAAGTAAATGTTACCACTAGAGAGAAACAGATGGTTTATCTGCGAAGGATAGCCTCGTGACAACTTCTTTATTGCACACTTTCGCTCGTGGCCTGCACTGGGACTTGAGGCGCAAGGGTATCGGGGTGGGATCCAGTGCTGTTCTGCTCCGAAAGGCCAGACATGCCGGGCGCAGTGACCTTCACATTTTCTTCTGGCTGAGGCTCCGATTTTGTATCATTTTGCTGGGTCTCTTCAGGTGGTGGTTGGGTATGCGGTGGGTTCCCGGGGTCGTTGGAAGACTTGCCCGCGGGATGCTCGTCCGATGGTACATCAGCAGTGTCTTGCGAGCCACTCGTCTCCTTGCTTTTATCTTTGTTGTATCTGAGCTGCACCACCAAGCTGGGTGGCTCGCCGTTCACGATTTCTTCATCGCCGCTCACTTCCTCTTCGTCGTCGCCCTCGAAATCATTGTCCTCCTCCTCCTCACCACCTTGCCATTCGTTGCCGCTTGAGTGCGCTCCATCCGAGCCTTCAGCCATCTCATCATCCAAATTGTAATCGGTGTACCCATTGGCCCGGGTGGCCCGCGATCTGGTGGGCCGGCCCTCGTCGCCGGCCTGGACATCGTCACGTTGTCCAGCGAGCAAAGTCTCGCCGTAGAGACCGCCGGCTCGAGATCGTATTTGTCGGCCACTGGCTGTGTATCGAGGTCCTGCCACGTCAACAGGGGTAGATACCCCTGATGTGTTTCGAGTAGAGCGCCGCGTCGATGGAAGACCATCGGAGAAGATGTCTTCGTCGTCGGAGTAGGTGTATTTCAACTTCTTCCCACGCGTTCGGCCTTCGTAGAGAGAGAACCCTGGCTCGGGCCGAGCGAATTGTGCTTTCCGCGCGATCCGGTAGTCGCGACGTTTGCGTTTCTGCTTTGTGGTGAGCGCAGGGTCACTGGTCACAGGGTGATGCGTGACTTACCTCCTCGGATCCTTCGAATCGGGGGATCGAGTTTCGAATCTTCTCGCTCAGCTTCTTGGAGTGGATGCTCTTCTCCTCATCGAGCTTGTCTGCGATGACCTTCAGCTCGGGAATGCTCCCCGCCACGCTCCACCACGTATTGGTCTTCAATGCCGGATTGCTCTCGCGGTACAATCTGAAGTGCGTGTCATCCAGACCTTCGATAAGCCAGTATCGACGCTTCAAGCCATCGCGACCCCATGGCTGAACGGAGAGCGGTTGATTGAGGTCGTCCTCGTGACGTGCTTGCTTGTAGGACTCTTTGATCTTGGCTTGAACGGCTTCGGAGGAGGAAAGGGACCAGAGGATCAGCGACTTGAGTAATTGCAACTAGGATATGTCAGTAAGGCAATATGCGATGATGCGACCGCGCGACGTACGCGTTCTTCCGGTTTCATGGTTGTGAAGTTGTTGCCCCCGTGCAGAGGGTTTTTGCCTTGCCAAGCCCTCGGCCATTGGGAGGCATGCGTTTGGATCGCCTCCTCGAGGGGACGCGTGTAATGGCTGCGACTGCGGATTAATCACATAATGTCAGTCTTCCGTACAGATCTGCGATTTGAGGATCGTATGTAGTCGAGTCGCCCCGTCGGACATCTCTATGGAGCGGGTTGGGTCTGAGGGCGGCGGTCATACTCCACATCCTTCTTCCTGTTCAACACCAAACCGAGCAACGCGCACAGCAATCGCTCGATATGATCGCCGGGGGTGCTCTCGGCGACGCCTCTTTCGATATCCTGTGGTCCAAGGTGTGGTGTCGATCGCGGGAATACATCGTGGAAACGCGCGCGGAACATTACAATGAACTAGGGATTGCGACAAGTCAGCACACTGATACCGAAAACGTGATCAACGCGTCGAAGAAGCTCCGAGAAGCTCCAATCAATAGAGTTCCTCTATAGAAGACATACTGCAATATCTGGATTGTCTGCTAGCACATATTCATGAGGTGGTGAGGGCTCCCGCTTCGGCGGCGGAGATTCGGACTTCTCCTTCTTGAAGTACTTGGTAATGCCCACAGGCTCGTCGACAGCCATGGATCCCGTCTCTTCATCTGAAGGGGGCGCCGAGGATAGCGACGAAAGTTCGGAGTCGGAAAGGGACAGGTTTGACATGGTGGGTGTGGCCGTCCGATATTGGAGGGAGTGGTGGTGGAGCGGGCAGGTCCGCGGCGCAGAGAAGTTCTACTTTAACACTACGGTTGGAGCGCGGCTTTTACGCGCCTGGCGTTTCTGGCATCATCAAGAACAGCCCTTATCCAGGGATGATCAGCACCCAATCAGCACCACTCTCCGGCCATAGTCTGCGGTCTGCATCAACAGCACACCGAACTGCCCGGTCTTTTCAAGAGGTCCCAGGTAGTGCATTATACGTAAGAGATGTGAAAACACGGAGAGAACAAAATTAAAGGACTGAAGTCATCGAAACGGAAGCACCGTCTACTTGTACATTTGAGTCAACAACATCGTAGAATCAGAGCTCATCATAAAATGGGAACAAGAGAGCACTTGCACCGCGTCTTCGATGTTGAGATTCATGGCAGTGGTGAGATTACCAGCAGCAGAAGTTCAGAGTTGATCAGCACGGTGGGTGTCAATCAGATAGAGGCAGTACCCTATATTGAACCTTCTCTCAGGTGAGGATACCAGCCTCGGTTGTGCAATAATGCACCTGGCTGGGTGTGCCGTCTTATGAGTGTAGGTAGTAATGACGCGTCAGGCAAGCATCAAACACTTTGCCCCGCTTGCGACATGGATACCATGCTACCGTAAAGCTTTCAGTAGTTGACATAGAGGTGGACGTGCGGGCGTCTCAGACACGAGGCACACACCACGCGCCGTTGATCCTGAATGCAGAACATAACGACTTTTCTGAGTTGCATCAACCTGGAGGATATCAGGCTATTGCGACCGATATGGACGTTCCTCGGCCCATCCCGATTGACCTGGAGAATATAGGAGGTTCGGGATGGAATTGTACTACCAAACGCGGTCAGTATATGAGGACAAACAAAGTGTACGCGAATCAACTACTCAAGCGCAGGCGTCTCATGTGCACCTGATTTGAGTCTCGATAGTGCTCAGTCAAACATGACGCAATCCTCGCAGAGGAGAGTATATAGGATGATGTACTGTACTGTACAGACAGGTAGCGTAAGTAGTCGATAAGCGACTGGCAGCATGAGAAGAAAAGTCTTTCTGAAGGGAGGGAAAAGGTCCTGCGATACGTGTCAAAGGTGATAAGTCTGACCAGCCAAGTTCTCAGCTGCACCAAGCGCATACTTGGGACTTATGCATCGACAACACAGGTTGATAGTATTCGGCTAAGTCCGACGGCCCCCAGTTCAGATAACCGAGAAGAAGGCGGTGGAGGTAGTTGCATACTTGGCGGTCCTTGATCTCCGTAGTGGCACGGCACTGTTCCAATACTTGCCCTAGTTACCGGGCTGAGTTACTAAGTAGAAGCGACCCGCGCCACACCAAACGTTGCAGCCACGCTCACTCATACACGCTAGCCCCGACGCGGTTAGATTAGCGACTTCCACCCTAAAGCCCACACAGCCCTTCGCCGACGAATTCTCAACACCAACCCGACAAGGTCATCTTAGATTTGAGGTACGAGAACTCGAACTCTCCCACCACCAGGTCGCCGGCGGACTCCTCTTGAATACTAACACCAGGTCCCTATCTAGAAAGTCGCCATGGGTCGTGTGATCCGCAACCAGAGGAAGGGTCGTGGATCCATTTTCAGTGAGTGCGACCGCAATATTCTCAAAATTCGAAATCTCCTCTGCCAGAATTCCGGAATGCTGATACAAAAACCACGATTGTAGCGGCCAACACCCGTCTCAACAAGGCCCCTGCCCAGTTCCGTGTCCTTGACTACGCTGAGCGTCATGGATACACTCGTGGTGTTGTGAAGGAGATCATCCACGACCCCGGCCGTGGTGCTCCTCTCGCCAAGGTCCAGTTCCGTCACCCCTACAAGTTCAAGCACGTTACCGAGACCTTCATCGCCAACGAGGGCATGTACACCGGTCAATTCATCTACGCCGGAAAGAACGCCACCCTGACTGTCGGCAACATCCTCCCCCTCGCCTCCGTTCCTGAGGGTACCGTTATCACCAACGTTGAGGAGAAGTCTGGCGACCGTGGTGCTCTTGGTCGTACCTCCGGTAACTACGTTACCGTCATTGGACACAACCCTGAGGAGGGTAAGACCCGTGTCAAGCTCCCCTCCGGTGCCAAGAAGGTCATCAAGAACACCGCTCGTGGTATGGTTGGTATCGTCGCTGGTGGTGGCCGTACCGACAAGCCTTTGCTCAGTACGTTTATTCTTTCCCCAGGACCCGATTTCCGCGAAATGAGAGGATCGGAGAAGACGACTGGATATAAGGATTGATTCGCTAACATGAACCTACAGAGGCTTCTCGTGCCAAGCACAAGTTCGCTGTCAAGCGCAACTCTTGGCCCAAGACTCGTGGTGTTGCCATGAACCCCGTTGATCACGTAAGGCTCTCTTCTTCCGCGCTGCTTCAAGCAGCCAATTCCTATTGGGTGACATGGTTACTGACGAATCTCTCTTCTACAGCCTCACGGTGGTGGTAACCACCAGCACATCGGTAAGGCTTCGACCATCTCTCGCTACGCCGCCCACGGTCAAAAAGCCGGTCTTATTGCTGCCCGGAGAACTGGTCTGCTCCGCGGTACCCAGAAGACCAAGGACTAAGCGGGTTATGGTGTGGAGTTCTTTTTGTGACGGGTTGAAAATGCTCTTTTGCTATGAGGCATATGTACTTAGGCGACTGCGGATAATCTCCTTAGGTTGTGGCCAACAAATATTTTCATGATGATCAAAGCAGAAGAAAAAACGGGTTAAAAATTCAACTCCTGTGCATGTGCCTGAAAAGAGTATGTCTGTTTAGGGGTTTGCTGGTGCGCTGTAGTGTGCAGATGTAGTTCAGTGTGTGTCACAGTAGTCGCGGGTAAGGCTCACGAGCGCATTTTCCGATCCAAATGTTTTAATACCAAGAATTAAGAAACGTAGTCACGACTAATATCTCGCAGCCGATTGTCGAGTAAGAACATGGCTGGATTCTCGATTGCAGTACTTCCTATCTATACTCCAACCTATAATAAGGCAAGAAACTTATCGGCACAAAGCTGAAGACTCGAAGTAGATCCTCTGTTTCTCAGGCCATCTTAGACAGGATAATTGTGTCTTCCCCTTCACTTCGTGTGGTCTCACGATTCGAAGTTCGAGTACACTTGCTCTCAAAGTGACCAATCACAGCACGGATCCCTTACCTTGGGGAGAAGTACATCACTGCAGTGGCTACACCTACTTACTTACCTACATCACCACCACCTAGAGATCGTCTTCGCCCTGCAAGATCACCTCAACGATTCAAAGAAGGCATCACAACACCATAACAATGGAGTCAAAGTCTCTACCACCCCTCAAGCTCCCTCGCCTGCCACTTCCTTCTTTGCCTCTGGCCAGTGCATCCGCGCGCTGGCAAGCCGTAGTCAAGCGGGATCCCACGGCCACCACCTTCGTCTACGCGGTCCTCACAACCAAAATCTACTGTCGCGCATCCTGTCCCGCCCGGCTCGCGCGACGAGCCAACGTCCGCTTCTACGATCTGCCCGCTCAGGCCGAATGGGCAGGGTTCCGGGCGTGTAAGCGCTGCAACCCCGATTCCCTCTGGAGCAGTAGCAACAGAAATGATAATCCTCAGGTTCAGCTGGTGCAGCGGACATGTCAGACGATTGCATCGCTGATCCAGTCCGGGTCGAGGCCGACGCTGCAGGTTCTCGCGGCTGAGATGGGGCTCACGACGAGTCATTCTCACCGCGTGTTCAAGAAGGTTATGGGCGTGACGCCGGGTCAGTATGTTGCTAGGATGACGGCGACGATGAAGTTGTCGTTGTTGGGGGAGGGGAGCGAGGAGGAGGAGGAGGAGGAGGAGGAGGAGGAGGGGAAAGATGGAAGTAGTACGGCATCTCGCGGTCCGGAAATAGGAACGGTGGTGCTTCAGCCCTGTGGTGGTGGCTTGGAGGTGGGTGCTCGCTGGCTTGGGAAGGACGATGATGATGCACATAGGATCAGTCATAGTGCCGCCGATGGGCTCCTGCCGTGGAATGACTTCGATGCATTGTTTGCCGCCGAGGCGCGTTTCGTCTCTATGCAGGAGGTGCAGCCAATGGGTGAACTGCATGCTTGGCGTGGTTTGGGAGGCTCCTGAAGCTGCTTGCTGCATTTAGATGGTTTCTTTCTTGGCTGTGGATTCTATGCGGTGTCACGGCATGGTTCCTGCTTAGGTCTTTGGGGAGGTTCCTTGACTGTCGGTTATTTGTGGAACATGGACCTTTCTTACGGGCTAGGTCACGAATGTTGTGGTCGTATGGCGTATTGCTTTCTGCATGCTGTAGGAGTATGCTTTTTGGTCCTTATCATGATCCACGCGTTGAGGGTGTGGTTTATATACTTATAGCATTAAGTTACTCCAAGTTGAGTTGAAGGCCTGTCCTCCCCCATGAAGAGTGTTCTTTATATATCTTCTGGCCAGGATATGCTCAACTCTCGTCGGATTCGGTGATTGCAGGAAGAACTACAGATAAGCAACCCGCGCACCGAAAATCGATCAGAATCGATCAAGTCCCAAGATCCATGCATCCAAACTCGATTCACTATACAATGAGAGTCGAGCTCTCGGAGAATAAGGTGGTATTGCAAGCTCGCGATTGTAGCGAGCTCCGCAACGGGTAAAGAGTCCCCGCTGATAATCGAACGATACGGACTACAGCTTACAGAGTGACACTGGCGGATGAGAAACCCCCGGCTTTGGAGAGGATCAGCCATCTGTTTCCAATTGATGCCTCCAGATGCATTGACCTCGTCTTGCATCATGATCTGCAAATGGCATGCTGCGCAGTCCAGTATAATGCTACTCAGTATCTCTCTTCCTTTCGTATCTACCCGTCAGAGTACCCTGAGATCCGTCTGGAATCTGGAGTCTGGATTACGCAGGCTCCAACGTAATTCATACCTTTGACAATATCCCAATTCGAACCTTTTCTTTCCCGTATTCGAGATCTTTAAGCATATATCCAGTTATACTTGCACTTAATACCTTGCCGGTGACATGCGGCCACATGACACCCATGGGGAGAGAGAGAGAGATCTGCTGATGACCAATGCGCCATTGCATGACTGGCACATCTTGCGAAATCGAATCCCAGACATTTCTCATCACTGTTCCAACTTCCAAGTCTCGTACCAGGGAGCTTGCCCCCCTCCTACCCACATTGCTGTTCTGTAAATAGAACTTGCTCTTGACTGAGTGTTCAAGCTGGTGGCAAAGCGAATCGTGACCAATCCAGAATTTTGACGGGCGTTCGGATCCCCACTTGAATGGCCCACAAACGCGTGTCACCTGCTTTGTTGTTAAACCTGGTCCAGCTTCCGATGACTGCCATTGGCGTGGTTCAGACAAGGTAAAAGCCGGACCTGAGAGGAAAAAAAAGTCTATTCAAGGTCGAGTACTGACAATGGATGGTGGGGGCTAGGAGGGGAGAACTTGAAGGTACGAATACGATGGGCAACGAACGGACACAGTAACAAGCTGTAGGTGCTGTACAGTACATGGGCCGAAACTAGGGATGCTCCTGAGTTTCAGGTACACTTCAAACAAACGACTGGCGTTCTGGCCCTGCCTCCACTGGTCCATTGTTGCTGATCGATTGTCTCCCTCAACTTCCAATCGGGCCACTTGCGTGCATTAAACTGCTCTTCTAGGGTTCAGGAGACAATACCTGAGTAGGAACGACGGATGGGTTCCGGGGAACCATGTTGAAGGGATTGGCTCTTTTTGCTGGAAGACTTGCGTACTACAGCTTGTTCATCAGAGACACACCCATACAAGTTACAGATTACAACACAGTCTTAGTGGGGGTAGATTGTCTAGGAAACCAAAGAGGCAATGTGGCGCCTTCAGTCCTACCTTCTCGAGTCGTGTATCGGCCGCTTGCGATTGGCATTGGGGGGCGCAAAAGGACAGTTGCTGTCTGTCATTCCTCAATGATGAACACACTGTCAAAGTCCCAAGTCAAGTCTTCTCTCCAAGTAATGGTTGGTTAGTTGGTCTAGTTCGTATTAGTACTACATACTTTTAATAAAAATAATTTATTGACCCCAAGGTCAAGGAAATTTCCCCTTTCCAACCTCCCACTTTCTTTTCCTCCTCTTCTATTCTCTCTCCCCCGCTTGTCGCAAACAAAGCGCAATTCATCTATCTAGCCTTTCCCTTCTTCTACTGCTCTCTCTTCACATCTTCGCCTCCTGGCCGTGGCGTTTTTTCTGATTTTCTTTCTCTTTTTTTTAATAGTCAATACCCAGCTGTGTCTTGCTCGAGCACTGTGCCCCCTTCTTTGCACCTGATTCGATAACTCTCGCTATCAACAAACACCAATCCCGCAATCACTAACTCGGCTCGGTTCGATTTGTGTAAAACACCGTCCGCTCTCGAAACCCGGAACACTCACTCTGGTCGCCACATTGATTCTATTTTTTTTTAATCATAATAACTACAAAAATTCACCAAGATGAACGTCAACCGGAAGTTCGATCGTTTCAAGCAATGGGCCGGGGAGCGAATGGGGAGCGAAGTCAAGACCAACCTGTCGGACGACTTCAAAGCCATGGAGACGGAGATGAACGTGCGCCACGATGGTAGGCTGCCCCCAAAGATCATTGACATCTGCTTTGCTAACATCTTGCTCTCGGAAAAGGTGTTGATCGTATCCACAAGGCAACCGCCGCGTACATCAAGTCTATTTCCAAACGCAGCGAAGGCGAGGACAAGGAGAAGACGCTACCGATCGCCCACTTGGGTAGCACCATGGTTAGCCACGGTGAAGACTTTGATGCTAACTCCGAGTATGGACGTTCCATGACCAGTATGCTATCCCTCCTGCTGTTGTCCGATTCCCATGCTCATAATGTTGTGCAGTGCTTGGTAGAGCGGAGGAGCGCCTGGCTCGCCTGCAGGATGCTTATATTTCCCAGGTGAACGCAGGCCTGCTGGAGTCGCTGGAGCATTCTTTAACCCAGCTGAAAGACTACCAGGTGACTATACCCATCATTGACCGCAGATCGATTGCAACTTTCTAATCGGGAGTGCAGACTGCCCGCAAGAAGCTTGACGGTCGCCGCTTGGCGTATGATACATCTCTTTCCAAGATGGAAAAGGCGAAGAGGGAAGACTTCCGTGTGGAGGAGGAGTTGCGGACTCAGAAGGTCAAATACGAAGAGGCCAACGATGACGTCTGCCGAAGAATGCAGGACATCAAGGAATCGGAAGTTGAGGGCGTGATTAACTTGGAGGCGTTTTTGGATGCTCAACTGAGCTACCATGCAAAATGCCAGGAAGTGCTGCTCCAGCTCAAGAGCGAGTGGCCCGGAAGGTGAGCCCCTACCCATGTTTTACCTCCGAAAGGCGCTAGTCACTCACACATTAACAGGCAACCCCTTTCCCAGACTCCAAATGGTCGCCGTCCAGGCCGTCCCCGCTCCAACACTGCCCACTCTTTCGCAGATCGCTATGAGCCATTGCATGAAGAGGATCACAATGACGCGGATGTCCGGCCTATCATTCGATCCAGTCGGGCCACTTCGATCGAGCCGACCGGCAGAGAGGTCTATCCGCCTGATACCTACGCGACCCGGCCCGTTCTGAGCCGGACTTCAACCTTCGAGGGCCCTACGCAATTGCGCCAGGATAATAATTCCAGCCCCTACCAATGGCCCTCTCGATCAGCCAGCGAAAATTATATCGGCCGCCGAAACAGCATTCAGAGCCGGACAGCCGGTAGAGCATATGCTGATCCGTACATGGACCCGTCTGAGGATGATAGCCCACGCAGCGGCACTAGCCCGGACAGATCTTATTTGGGACGCAACGAATCGCCTGCGCCTTCATATGGCAGCGCAATTTCGCGACGGGCCAGCTCGAATACCCTCAACAGCACATCCTTGAACAAGAAGGCTCCTCCACCTCCACCCCCCCGCGCCAAGAAGCCTGCCCCTCCCCCTCCCCCTATGAAGCGGGTGATTCCTCTTGGGGGCGACGCGTAGGCTGTGACTGCATGTTATAGCCTGTTATACAAACCTCTAGCGTACATGGGTAGTTGAGTGTTTTTTCCTTTCCGGTTGGGTTTCTGGCAAATCTACCCTAATTCAGGCCATTCGAGTCTGGGGTTCATCCTGCTGGCAAGTGTTGAAAGATAGCGGGTGGTCTGGGGCGAGGAATTGATATTCTCTCCCTTTGTTTTGTGTCTGTGCGATAGGTAAACCGGCAGTAGTCAGTGTATAGTGCGGTCTGTACAGGAAACGGGCGGGGTAGAACTGTTTCGTCTTGTATTATTGAGTTAATATGATGGCCGTCAAATAGATAGTCCTTTAATTTGAAATTGTGACTACTTATCAATTCTTGCTTGGGAATGAATATTGTACAGTACGTATAGCCTGGAGAGAGAGAGAGAGAGGGGACTCGGGACCGTTCCCATCGGCCGAGGTTGGGGAGAGCTTCCCCGCTAGGCCTAAGCCGGCTGCGGGCAAACTCACCCGCTGAGTCAGCTTAACTCTCAACTCGCCCTCGTCCCCCCACGTGACACGGCACGAAATCTTCTTCCAACGTCTCGCCGCCTACCTCTCCCTCGTTACAGGCACAGGCTGAGCACCGCCAGTTTCCCCGACCAGCACCGAAAGTCGCGAAAGCCCCGTCCCCTCCATCTCCATTTCATCCAAACTGGCCTTCCACGCGCCATTCTCACCCCGGCCCCTTCCTTTGGGGTCATTTTTACGCTTTATTCTGCGCGTTAGACGCCCCTTTCCCTCTACTTACTGATTCTCCTGTTTGTCGCCTACCGCCCTGTATCTCCCCCGGTGCGGTCCAAACATCACGAAACTTGTCGCCAAGGTCCAGATACAGGCCGCTACCTGTCGCATTCATCAACCAAAGGCTCTCCCTACCCATTCATTCTTGTAACTGAGCGCCCTTCATCCCCCCCAACGCGCGATCCCTCATTCACCGTCGCCGCTCTCAATTTCCACGTGTTTTCCTAAGCGCTTCACTGTGCACTGTCGCAACCCAGGTGTTCCCCGTGTCTCCTGCGTTGCTTATGAATAAAACAACTACGCGCTAGAGCATGGCTTCTCTCCAGTCAGCACCAAACATGGCCGCTGGAAACATGAGCTTACCGCCAAACTTGACGCAGCAACACATCCAAGAAGTTCTGCAGGTGTGTTCTCGCTCACCCGCCTGTCTCTCTCTTCTTTTCTCGCACCTTCCTCACACCCCACCCTTCCCTTCTTCATATCAAACTTTCCCTCCATGGCCTCGCTCTAACTTCGTTGAAGAAATATAAGCAGATGCAAGAACAAGGCGTTCGCCATGATGATCCCGAATATCTCAAGGCACACAATCTGCTGTCAGCCGTCCAGCGACAGCAAGTCTTCCAGAAACAGAGGTTCGCCCAACAGCAGCTGCAAGCGCAGCAACGCCAACAGCAGCTCAATGGCGTGACCCCTGAAGCCGCCGCCGCCGCCTCGAATGGCGTCAATGGTACGGGCTTCCCTCTGACCTGCATCCGCAGGTCGTAAATTGGGTAACCTCCTCACTAACGCTGATATCTATAGGCCGCAGCAATACCGCCGCAACTCCTCTTAATGCTGTGCCGGATGGAACTCTGGCTACGACGGCTGGTCAACAGTCTTCGGGCCAGGTTTCTTCCCAGAAGGGTGTGCCCGTTGCCAGCAGCAGCTTTTCTGCTGAGCAATTGGCGACCCTTCGCAATCAGATCTTGGCTTTCAAGATGCTATCGAAAAACCTTCCGATCCCCGCTCGAGTCCAACAACAACTTTTCCCACCCAAGAAGGCGCAGACACCGGCTCCCGCAGACGCCATCGCGACTGCTGAGAACGTTTTGGACAACGCTGCCCAGGGCAAATCCGAGCCATCTACAAGTGTGCCAGACGAGACTCAGTCGAAGGATTTCTACCAAAGCTTTCAGTCACCCTATGATCTGATGCCAAAAACTATCGGATTTACGGATCATGCATCTCGTGCTAACCGCATGCGTGTTCCTGCGTTGATGCCTGCTGGCATTGATATGGATCAAGTGCGCGAAGAGAGAGAGCTGGCACTCTACAACAGGATCAACGCGCGGAAGGCTGAGCTGGCTGAGCTTCCGGCCAATCTCAACTCGTGGGACTCAAGCCAGAGTGACACTGCCACGGGCGACGACTCCCTTAAATTGAAAGCTTTGATCGAGTATAAAATGCTTACCCTGCTGCCCAAACAGAAACTTCTTCGCAAGCAGATGCAAAACGAAATGTTTCACTTTGATAACCTGGGTATGACGGCGAACCGCTCCAGCCATCGTCGTATGAAGAAGCAGAACTTGCGTGAAGCCCGCATTACGGAGAAGCTGGAGAAACAACAACGTGATGCGCGCGAAACCAGAGAAAAGCGGAAACAATACGATCATCTTCAGGCTATCCTCAACCATGGTGCCGAACTTCAGAATGCTGCTGCTCAGCAACGCACCCGCATGCAGAAATTGGGTCGCATGATGCTTCAACACCATCAACATATGGAGCGTGAAGAGCAGAGACGTGTCGAGCGTACTGCCAAACAACGTCTCCAGGCTTTGAAGGCCAACGATGAGGAGACATACTTGAAGCTGCTTGGACAAGCTAAAGATTCTCGTATCTCTCACCTTTTGAAACAAACCGACAACTTCCTCAAGCAGCTTGCTGCCTCCGTGCGAGAGCAGCAGCGAAGTCTTGCTGAGCGCTATGGCGAGGAAGATCAGTTCTTTGAAGAGGAAGAAGAGGAAGAAGAGATCGCATCCGGAAGTGAAGATGAAGGCGACGGTAGAAAGAAGATCGACTACTATGCTGTTGCTCATCGCATCAAGGAAGAAGTCACCATGCAGCCCAGCATCCTTGTTGGCGGTACTCTCAAGGAGTACCAGATGAAGGGTCTGCAGTGGATGATTTCACTTTACAACAACAATCTCAATGGTATTCTGGCCGATGAAATGGGTCTTGGAAAGACCATTCAGACGATCAGTTTGATCACCTATATCATCGAAAGGAAAAAGAACAATGGGCCTTTCCTCGTCATTGTTCCTCTGAGTACCCTTACCAACTGGAACCTGGAGTTCGAGAAGTGGGCGCCCTCCGTTTCGAGAGTTGTTTACAAGGGTCCCCCCAATGCGCGGAAGCAGCAGCAACAGCAAATCCGCTGGGGCAATTTCCAGGTCCTCCTGACCACCTACGAGTACATTATCAAGGACCGCCCAATTCTGAGCAAGATTAAGTGGACCCATATGATTGTCGATGAAGGTCATCGCATGAAAAACACACAATCGAAGCTCAGCAGCACCCTGTCGCAGTACTATACTAGCCGTTATCGTCTGATTCTGACTGGTACTCCACTGCAAAACAATCTTCCAGAATTGTGGGCTTTGCTGAACTTCGTCTTGCCAAATATCTTCAAGTCGGTCAAATCGTTCGATGAGTGGTTCAACACGCCATTTGCCAATACAGGTGGACAAGATCGCATGGAACTGAGCGAAGAAGAACAATTGCTTGTTATCCGTCGTCTGCACAAGGTTCTACGGCCTTTCCTGCTCAGACGTCTCAAGAAAGATGTCGAGAAGGATCTGCCCGATAAGCAAGAAAGAGTTATCAAGTGCCGCTTTTCTGCTCTGCAAGCCAAGCTGTATAGGCAGCTTGTCACTCACAACAAGATGGCCGTCAGCGACGGCAAAGGTGGTAAGACTGGCATGCGTGGTCTCAGCAACATGTTGATGCAGTTGAGAAAGCTTTGCAACCATCCGTTTGTCTTCGAGCCTGTCGAAGATCAGATGAATCCTGGGCGTGGGACCAATGATCTGCTCTGGCGTACCGCCGGTAAATTCGAACTCCTGGACAGGATCCTGCCCAAGTTCCGTGCTACTGGTCACCGTGTCTTGATGTTCTTCCAAATGACCCAGATCATGAACATCATGGAAGATTTCTTGCGCCTCCGTGGCCTCAAATATCTCCGCCTTGATGGTTCCACCAAGTCCGACGATCGGTCGGACCTATTGAAGAAGTTCAATGCTGAAGGTTCTGAGTACTTTTGCTTCTTGTTGTCGACACGTGCTGGTGGTTTGGGTCTTAACCTCCAGACCGCTGATACAGTCATCATCTTCGATTCCGATTGGAATCCTCATCAAGATCTGCAAGCGCAGGATCGTGCCCATCGTATCGGCCAGAAGAACGAAGTCCGTATCTTGCGTCTCATTAGCTCCAATTCCGTCGAAGAGAAGATTCTAGAGCGTGCACAGTTCAAGCTTGACATGGACGGCAAGGTCATTCAGGCAGGAAAGTTCGACAACAAGTCTACCAATGAAGAACGAGACGCACTTCTGCGAACACTGCTTGAGTCGGCGGAGGCCGCTGATCAAATCGGAGGTGACCAGGAGGAGATGGATGACGATGACCTCAATGATATCATGGCACGATCTGATGAAGAATTAATCACGTTCCAGCGTATTGACAAGGATCGTCAGAAGAACACCCCCTATGGTCCTGGCCACAAGTATCCTCGTCTCATGTGCGAAGAAGAACTGCCAGACATTTATCTCACCGAAGAAAATCCTGTTACCGAGGAGGTTGAAGTTGATTTGGGCGGCCGTGGTGCGCGCGAACGCAAGGTCACCCGCTACGATGATGGTCTTACCGAAGAGCAATGGCTCATGGCTGTGGATGCCGATGACGATACCATTGAAGATGCAATCGCCAGGAAAGAGGCCAGGGTTGAACGCCGTCGCGTCAACAAGGAGAAGCGCAGCCGGAAGGCAGGTGCCGAATCTTCACCGGAGCCGTCGCGGGAGAGCTCGGAAGCTCCTCAACCCAAGAAACGTCGCCGCGGTCCTGCTCCCAAGCGTAAGGCAGAGGAGGTTATCGAAGAAACACCTCAACCGAAACGGAAGAGAGGAAGACAAGCTAAACCCATCGAAACTCTGAGCAGCGAGGATCGGGCCATCTTGCAGCGGATTGTCAACAATGTCTATCAGGCGTTGATGGACATGGAGCAGGAGTTGCCAGCAGATTCTTCGGATAGCGAAGACGGTCCCGTGACCCGGTCCATCATCGAACCGTTCATGAAGCCGCCTCCCAAGTCTCAGTACCCTGATTATTACATGATCATCCAAAACCCGATCGCCATGGAAATGATCAAGAAGAAGATAAATCGTGAGGAATATCAGAATTTGAAGGACTTCAGGAACGACATCCACCTTCTGTGCCAGAACGCCCGGACTTACAATGAGGACGGCAGCATCCTGTTCCAGGATGCCAACGATATTGAGGTAAGATAGAATGTTCCTCACTGGGCTGGAATGCTTTCATGCTAACCAAATATAGGCCAAATGTCTGTCCGAACTCAAGAAGGAAACCGAACTCTATCCCCAGTTCGCCAACTACGATGATCTAGGTGGCAATGACCAAACCGCTGCTACTTCTGGCACCGATACTCCCGGTCCTGTTGCAACACCCAAGCTGAAGCTGACGTTCAACAGCGGCAACCGGGACAGCATTGGACCGATTGGCGGCAGCGGTACGAATGAGGATGAATGAACCCCTAATAGACGCTTTGCAGATATAGTGGGCTGAGTTCCGATATGTTTAACGTGTTGCAAAACCTTTGCTTAATTGCACATTACCTTCTATACTGTTTTGATTCTCCTCTTTATTTCCATTCTGTGTTTCTTGACATGTCCCCTTCCGATATTTGGCTCCGTGGACGGCGTTACATAACTTTGGTGGTAGGGGATGGATGACGGGTTGATGGCGCAATGCTCTATTCTAGCTTGAAGACGAGCGATTTTCGATTTATACTCTTCTTGTTTCCCACGGTCACTCACAATGACGTGAATCTCATACTTTTCCCTCAAAATCTTTTCCTGTTGTCAAGAAACCCTAGACTGGGGCCCAGTTGAAGACATGTTCATTTTCCTTTCTCTTCTTCCCCTTTCTCTACCCCTTTCTTCGACTCTTGTGCCGCACGTCACTCAGGTAGTTTGTCTTGGGGAGGGTGCAAGTGGCCAATCCACGCGTCCCGCGGAGGATGATGGCCTTGGTTGTAATTTGGATTCTCCGCCCATGTGATTTAGCCATAGTCAATGTAGTCCTTTGTACTGTATGAAGTTGCTGTCAAGAGTGTTTTGCTGTACCAAAAAGTCGCTGCACGGGCGAGTTCTACGAAGCAGATGCTAGCAATGTGATTCGATATGACCAAACGAATCACACAGTAGGTAAATTTTTACAAAGTGCGGGAGAGGGAGAGGCCGGGGGGGTGGGAGGCTGAACCAGGATAGGGCTGCTCCTCATCTTGGAATTTCATAGTTATCAAATTCTTGGACAGGTGTCTAATTCTTCGACTATCCTTCACCGTTACGTACCAGCCAAAGTCATTTCGAGTTATCGTTTCTCAATCGAGCCTATGTACTGTACAGTACTGTACATTTCCTGGTGCCTGATCCCAATTAATCGGATCTATGTATAGATCTTTCTCTTCTCGTCCTATTTTAGTGTCTGTTTTCCAGCCCATTAGAGGTTCCGTGAAAAACTAATGCGGGCCTCCGCTCGGTCGCTGGTCTTTCTGGATTGTTCGATTGAGATGCAAGCTGGCCCCAGCTGCTGCTGCTACTGCTGCACCTATGCGATGGCCGGGGCCACCGGTGGCAGGCGGATAAACAAACGGAGAGAGACAGTGGGATCGATTATCCTGCAGAGCTCGGAGACTAAGAGTCTTGATTTGTTTGTTTTCAGTGTGCGACGTGAAGGATGCGTGGGAGGCGATTATTGGATTGGACTTTTGTTGTGGTGGTCGTACTGGTAAGTCCCAAGTCTAGATGCAGTAAGATATTACAGGACAATACCACATTCAGAACAGGCAACTATGGATGACTTTTCTACGGGAAAGTTGCATGTACTGTTGGACACTCCCCAAGATTGTAAGCAATAGAATAAATAATCTAATACTTTTAAGTAGATAGAGAGAGAGAGAGAGAGAGAGAGAGGCCCACGTCATCAGAGTCGGGGTGAAAGAAAAGGGCAGCAACAGCCCTCGACGTCATGACGGGCTAGTCACGTGACATTACGCACCGTCATCCAAACCGCCAGCTCGTCCTTTTGAATCTCACCTCTTCTTCCCTTCCCAGCTCTGCAAAACAACTTACCTAACTGTATCCAATCCACGATCCTCTACTTCTTCTTTTACAATCCTGTTCGCAACTCCCCCCCCCCCCCCCCCCAAATATCCACCAATTTTATCTAATCGTAGTCGCTCAGATCAGCTTTCCAATCCAATTTCGAAATGGCCTCTTTCCAGGATCGTGCTCAGCACGCCATTGCCCAGCTCGACAAGGAGGTAAGTGTCGTGTGTGCGTCGGCTTCGGCCTCATTGGTGTTCTGCTTCCCCCTTCGAACGCGATCTCTCGATATTATGGTTCCAAGTTTTCATTCGTGTGGATTTGTTCTTTCCTGTTGCTATTGTTTGCTTTCGCTCCCGGATGGATGAGCTCCTGTCATGTTTTGATATTTCCGAAGCTAACAATCTCCCCTTTGTGGGGATTTCTTTCCAGCTCTCCAAGTACCCTCTCCTGAACAACCTGGAGCGTCAGTCCTCCGTCCCCAAGGTCTACGTGATCCTTGGTCTGGTCGGCATCTACACCTTCCTCGTCTTCTTCAACATCGCCGGTGAATTCCTCGTCAACTTCGCCGGTTTCATCATCCCTGGCTACTACTCCCTGAATGCCCTCTTCACGGCCGGAAAGGCCGATGACACGCAGGTACGTCTGACCCCCTAGTCTTCTGAAACGACATCGACAGCGATGCTAACTTCCACAACCTCTACAGTGGTTGACGGTATGTCCTCGTGATCTGGTTTTCTTATCGCGCTTCAGGCGGCATGGCCCGGATGTGTGATGATACACATCCCGACCACCGGCCTCGTAGCACGTGACGTCTCTTCATCAGCATCAAACTAATCTGACATGTGATTGTGATAGTACTGGGTTGTCTATGCTTTCTTCACCGTCATTGAGAGCGCCATCAGTGCCCCCTACTGGTTCCGTACGTATCCGCTAATTTCGTCCCGGGAGCGTTGAATCGTGGTTGGAGACGAATACTAATGTGTGCCTTACAGCCTTCTACTACATCTTCAAGTTCGCCCTTGTCCTCTGGATGGCTCTTCCCCAAACCAAGTAAGTCACATTGTTCTCAGCAAGCTTCTGCCGTTGTCGTCTATGAGACATGATTAGCTGACCCAGTCCTTGTTCTAGCGGCGCTCAAATCGTCTTCCACTCTTTCATCCAGCCCGTGCTCGGCCGCTTCTTCCACGATGGTTCCACCTCTGCGAACCTCCGCGCCCAGGCCGATGCTGCCACCAAGTCGCAGTAAATAGACTTTACTTAGAGAGTCGAGCATTTGCAAATTTGATCGACAGTCTGTAGACTGGAGGTCGGGTTCCGAAATTCTCGATTGGTGGAGGTGTCGAAAAAACCGAACCAGCCGGCGGAGTGTTGGACGGGGGGCTTCTTCTTGACATGTTTGGACAATTTATGTTCCTGGAGCTGGATTGAATAAAGATTTCAAAGAGGGGCGGTAAATCCCTCGGGGTTCTCTTACCCCGTGTGAAGATGGGGATGGAATGTGGGCTGGGCTGATTCTTGTCATGTTACTCTCTGTTTTGTCATGAATTGCTTGGGTAGTAGAACGTTTCATGGGTTGCGATTGATGGATGATGGATGATGGATGGGATATGAAACGGGCGGGCCTGGGCGCGCCTGGGTTCCGTGCCACAGTGGTCGATATAGCTAGCTATACTGGATGATGCATTATGCCTCTCGGTAATTTGAGCACTGTTGATTGCGTCTCTCGATTGGTCTTTCCTCTGGCTTTCTTCTCTTCTACTCTTCAAGTATAAGTCACATTGGTCCCGGACGTACAGGGTGAGGAAATTAAACGTTAGGAAGAAGAACAGACAGAGAAAGTAGTATAATACAATCAACGAGGATCAAAGAATCTTGGAAACCTTCCTAAACTGCTATAGTTCAGGAGACAAGGTGCACGCACGCGCACGTACAGATAAATACAAACACGGTACCAACAAACAGAGGCATGAGTCGATGCTCAAACTCCGTACACGCCCAGCCCAACCCGGGAGATAAATACATGAGATATTATGCAAAACAACTCTGGGTATCCGTAGCCCAGCTGATGCAAATGCAGAGAGGGGGTGTTCCAGAACTCTAACAGAAGAAGAAGATAACCGGAATATCTTTTTTTTCTTTCTCCTTTTCTTTTGAGGCTTCAACATCAATACAGCCCAAGCCGATTCTGCCACCCATCCGGGCGCGGGTTGAGGACGATGCGATAAGGGAATGGGTTGGAGTCGCTGGTGGTGATGGGCGGGATATGATCCTTGTCGCGGTTGACGACGGCGAGGATCTTCAGCGCGGCCTTCTGAAGCATGTTCTCCATTGCTTTGCGGACTTTGGCTCGTTCTGGTGGTGATTTGGAGGGTTAGTTATGGGTTTTTGCGAAGGACGTTCCTTCTCTCTCTCTTTTGAGGAGCGTGGCAGTTAGAAGAGGGGGGATCAGGAGGGGTTAGACTAAGAATGCCACTTCTCCTCCGGAATACTCGTAGACCGAGGATCTTTCTTCCGTTCTTTGTGGATTGGTGTATCACATACCAGATTCAGTCCGCGGCGTGGCTATCGTCACATCCAAATTCCACACCTCCCAGCATACCTCCTCCTCGCCTTTGCCTGCCAGACCGCCGAACCAGATCCCGGAGCGTCGGCGGCGCTTCTCGTAGAATTCCACGGCCATGCGGCCGCGTACGCTGGGACCACCTCCACCACCTCCACCTCCTCCACCACCACCACCCCCGCCACTACCGATACCGTCGTGGACGCCGCCGATGCTCGTGGTCGAGTGTTGGCGGACGAGCGAGCTGATGCGTGAATCAATGAGGGTTTCGAGATCGACGTCATTGATGGCGGGGAGAGTGAAGTCTAGAACGTCGAAAGTAGTGGGCCGGATTGAGGGGAAGTATCGATGGAAGAAGATTAGGTTAAGGATGCCTGGATCTCCGGGATAGGCCCACGGCGGGAATCGGGGTTAGTTTTTTGAGGAATCCTTATTTTTGTGTTTGTTTGTTTAGAATATGGAGACATATGAAGCGAACCTTTCAATACATCTCTGACTGTGGTGGTGTCGGCGAAGATCTCGAGAAAGTATTCTGGGGGCGTTTTGCGGGGCTCCATCTTCTATGGGGGCGCGGGTTCGGCTGCGAGAATGGGTAGGCGGGCGGGCGCGGGGAGAGGTGGTTGTGTTCGGTGGACTATACAATATCGTCAAGACTAACTCTCTGGGATCCCCGAGCAGAAATTAAGGTCCTCGTGCTGTGCTGTGCAACGTATTCAAGACTCAGTCCGATGCGTGAGCAGGAAAGAGGAGATCGAAATCCGGGGTTGAAAAGGCCGCCGGGGCGATGACGCTGTCGGGCTGGGCGTTGGGGGAGGGGAGGGTCTTATGATCGCCGACAAGTCTCACATGGAGCAAGGTTCATGAGGGGTGCATGTTCGGCCAGTAGCGGCGTATATAATGTTTGGCAGTGTGAGAATATGTCATGGAGGATGTCGGAGAAGAGGAGGGAGAGGAGGGAGAGGAGGGAGGAGGAGGAGGAGAGGAGGTGTAGTAAGTTGCGCGAGTGGAGAGGAGAGGGGAGAGGAGAGATGAGAGGGGAGGAGAGGAGATAATGGGTCAGTTACAGTCTGTCAACCTTGGTATGTAATCAATTGCCCCTCTCGCTCACAACTCCCTCTTTCCCTCCCTCCCTCCCTCTCTCTCTTTCTACTCTTCCCTTATCGCTTCACTCTTAGCCTCAGTTTCCGGCTCTATGAACCACTTTCGGGTTGAGTTTCTTGGTCAAGACCTGCGGTTGATGTTTCCAATTGATCGCTATCAGAACCACTAGAGCCACCAGAGCCATTAAAAATGCCCGTCCTCTATCATATGTGTATGTGTATCCGTACATACTTACTGTACGAGACTAGTCAGCCTGACAGTCCAGGCACCAAATCTCACTCACTCAGGCCGGATAAGGATTGCAGTAGCGATGACGCACCAACCTCTTTCTTCTCTTCAGTCTCATTGAGAGAAAAGTGATTGTACAGGTGTAAGCCGTAACTTGATGGGCTGGAAGCTAGAGTATATGCTCTGTATAGTAATTTTTCCAGTATCGAGCACACTCTCATCACAAGACGAGTTTCTCCCCCCCCCTTCAATCACAACCCAAGCTGTTATCAATTTATCATACGCCGAGGTGGTTTAGCCGAGGCCGCGCCAGGGACTCCATCCACTCTCTCTCTCTTCGTCCGCCGACCGTGCCAGCTTCCCTTACCACGCCTCTCGCCATCCTGATCCTTCATTCCTATTTCTTCTCCTTATCAGCCCCCCTGTTCTTCTTCATTCTCTTGTCTTCCACCACGTAGGATGATCTGACCCCCACATTTCCTGCTAACGACCACCCTCAATTCCTCCCCGCCCAGAACATCGCTCCACCATGATCAGTGCCACTGGGCGCTGGTTCCGGCGCAATCGCAAGGGTCTTGCAATCGGGGCCGGCGTGCTCGGAGCCGGATACCTGGCCGGTCAATATGTGCTGGGCAAGATCTCGGAGGCAAGAGAGCGCATGGGGAGTGACCGTGTTGCGCGAGAGAAGTAAGTCATCTTATTTGCCGGGGGTATAGCTCGCTCGGGCCCGTGATGCGATATGCTCGCGTGCTTGTGAACCGGTCGCTGACCCGCCCGGCCTCGGTTTAGCCTACGGAGACGCTTTGAGCAAAACCAAACCGACTGTACCTACACTGTCTTGGCGCTGCTACCCACAGCTGCGGAAGATATACTGGAAGCCCTGCCGGTTGAAGAGTTGACGAAAGAGCTACAGAAGAAGCGCGCGGAGCGGTTGGCTCGTCTCGGTGCGGGAGAAGGAACAGGGTCCGACTTGAGCTCCATTTCGCCGAGTATCACCGACGATGATCGCCGCAGTCTCTCCAGCTTCCAGAGTGATGGCTTCGTTCGCGCCAGTCAGCTGGGAGAATCGACCCTTGAGGGGGCGGCACCGTCGCCCTCGCCGAAGCGGAACAAGACCCAGCTGTGGAACGAGGTTAAGATCACCTGTGAGTTTTGTGTCTGATTGTGCTGGTGCTTCGACGTTGGGGACTGACGGCGTTACGGCAGCGATCACTAGGTCGTTTACTCTCATCTACACCCTATCGCTGCTGACCATTTTCACCCGAATCCAACTTAACCTGCTCGGCCGGCGGAATTATTTGTCTAGCGTGATCTCGATGGCCACCCCTCCAGCAGATGCCTCTACGATTAGACTCGAAGATCATGACGACGACGATCTGACACAGACGCTGGGCAATGACTTCGAAACGAACCGCCGCTATCTGGCCTTTAGTTGGTGGCTCCTTCACCGTGGCTGGAAGCAATTAATGGAGGAAGTGCAAGCGGCCGTGACGGAAGTATTTGGGTCTCTCAACCCTAGAGAGGATATTTCACGAGGCAAGCTGGCAGAGCTTACGCTGCAGGTCCGGAGGAAGGTGGAAGGAGATACCGAGGAGGACAGAAAGTAGGTTTTTATTCTTTCCGATGTGTGCTGCTGGTTGATTGACCATACGGTTAGGCGCCGGAAATGGCTGGCCTACATACTTCCTCCGAGGGAGGAGGAAGATCATCTGCTAGAAGAGTCTGGTGTATTAGGCGTGACGGAGCCGTCGACGCCCCAGACCACCGCGACGCTGCGGCACCTCCTGGACGAGACAGCCGATCTGATTGATTCTCCAACATTTACCCGCGTTGTATTGCTTCTTAACAACGAGTGCTTCGAGACCCTGGTTCAGCAATGTACAGCAGAAGCTTTCAAGAACCCACAGACTCCCGCCCCTCAGTCTTTCACCTCTGTTGCTACGATCGTCCCCGGGGCGGACGGCTCGGAGCCAAAGACGAAACTGGCAAACGTGCTGGCCGTCATGGCTCGACAAGCCCATGTCATCGGGAACGGCACCGCTCCTCCTAATATATACCTAAATGCTATGGAACAGGGAGTACGGGAGCTGGAGGCCTTTGCGGCTGTTATGTACAGCTCAAACTTCGACTCGGAGCTGCTTGATGCTGAGCCGAAGACGCAAGCGGAGACCCATGATAGAAACGAAGAACCAAATCACCGAGCGAAACCTTTCCCGCCACATGTTATGAGCGCCGTGAACAACAGAGACGACTAGTGATTAGGTGTAATGACTCACACAGGCAAAGGAGCCTCATGATAGAAACGAATGAGAATAAGGAAACTTCTGACTCGAGCTCAAGGTCTGCCTGCAAGTTTTGGACAGATCTGGAGTTATTCGTGAAAACAACGTGGTAAAGTCGACCGTGGTGATCCAAGCACGAAATTAGGTGACTTGTAGAGTTAGGGGTATGCGATAAAGTACCTGTTCATTTCTTGCAAGATCATCTGTTTGTGAAATTAAGGACAATCCACTGCTTCATGTTATTTTCCTGTACGAGGGGGTGGTACTGTCCCTCGGACTTAAAAACAGAAGATCCTCTTCCCCCACAATGTCTTGGCGCTTATCTCATTCCACACAGGGAGATGTTGTGGTCTATTCGCGTTCATAAAGGTGCCATAGCAGGTGCCCCATCCAAGGGGATCGGATTCGGGACCGGGACCACAGCAGGCAGTATGTTATCGATCGCTGGTGGGAAAATCGGGTGCAAGGGATAGATGGGGGCGGTCGAGCGTTCACCGTCGAACAGGAGCATGTTCTGGAGCGGCTGTTCCCTGGCACTGAGCACGTTGATCACGTCTTGGGCCAGACTGCCGCCGACGAACGCCGCCACGGGGCTCAGCTCGCTGTTCAGGTTCTGCAAGAAGGTGCGCAAGAACTCGGCGTCCAGGGTGGCGATGTCCAGCTTCAATTCCTGGTGACCGTCTCTCGCGAGCTTGGTGAACACCTCCAAGTCTTGGTGGGAGAAGGTCGGCAGGGCGCCCGCGGAGAGTTTCTGGTATTCCCACAGGGCACGAAGGCAGGTGAGGAGCGGGGTGACTTGTTTGCGTTTGCGGGGGAGTCGCGTGAAGTCCTCGGGGAGAGGGGAAGTGTTGGCCAAGATCAGCGGAGAGTATATTTCGCGCTTGGTGACCATCTCGATAACCTTATCGTTTTCCTTCTTGGTGGTGATGTTCAAGATGCTCCGGGTCGGGGTTTCCTGGGTGACGGATGGGACGTTGGATTTAGATCGCTCGATCACAAAGTCGTGAGATATCAGATCTGCGAAGACAAAGCCGTAGAATCCGTGCAGTCCGGCGGCGTAGAAGGGACGGTTGGCTATCCGACAAGCTGCATTGATGGTGGTGTACGTGTGGAAGTCAAGTTCCGTCGCTATCGTGATGTCGAACTGTGCGAAGTATTCCGGTTGTTTTAGGTGAACATCATCTGTGTCAATGTGAAGCTGGACCCGAGGGTTCATCGCGCGGATAGCCGGTGCGGCAGCTTGTGCTCGCTGTGGTGCGAATTAGTAGACCGGCGTACATTGGAGGAGGGATACCCATACGTTCTGGCCCAGGCAATCCTCATTCACGAAGAATTGCGCACCGAGATCTTCCTCCTTCACATTTTCATGATCGATGATTGTAAGGGATCCGATGCCTGCGAGCACCAGGTTCTTGGCAACTTCGTTTGCCAACGCCTTAAACGTGATGAGTAGGATGTTCGCGGATCGCAGCCTATGATCAGACTGGGAGTCAGGACAGTTGAGCAGGTCATGGAGAGTACGAAAGAAGCTCACTTTTCTTGAGCCTTGACTCCCCAGAGACGAATCTGGCGGTCGTATAGCGCAATCTCATCTGAAATATACCGCGTTTGATGTCAGGGTTGTTATTACCAGTGGCAAGATACATTGTGGGATTGACAATACCTGCGCTGATTGATTGGGCTGGTTGCGACTCCATGGTGAGTGACGTAGGATGCATTTAGATGCGCAGTCTCCAGCTCAGACGACAGAAAGACCGTTTTGCCCGGTACCTAGTTCAGGATCGAGAGTCGCGCCTTCACAGTCTGAGACAATTGAAGGGGTGTTGGCTCTAGAGGGAAGCGGGCCAGAGGAAGGTATGTATGTATGTATGTATGTATGTTCTTCGGGGGAAATCTGGAGTGAGGGGAAGTAATGGAAGAGCAAGGTTTGGGAGTCTAGAAAACAGGAGAAGAGACAATGACGGCAGTGTATGCGCAATGGCTAGTAGGAAGCTGTCCAGAATCAATCTACTGGTATGGGAGGTGGTATGGTGGGAGAGTAGTGAGAGGAGGAGGGAGAGGAGTGAGGGAATAAATGAGGGAATGGATTGGATGAAGCTGAGATCAGTTAACTCCGTACCCCATCATCAATCATCATCATCACGTGCGGGGGATCCGAATAAACTACCGCCGATAACCTTTAGGGGGGAGAGAAAGAGAGAGGAGAAAGAGACCCCGTCGCTTATCGCTCCGGCCTCATTCCATCCTCCCTCCTCCTTCTCCGCCTCCCTCCATCTATCTCCTCTCAGCCTCCGTCATCTCTTCCTCATTCTTCATCATTTCGGTTTTTTCTTCCGAGCTGGCTGGCTTTCTCGTCTATCTGGTCCCTTCTGGATCTTTCACCCACCCTTTGTCGATTTGGCTTACCGCCTAAATCTCTCCATAGTTCTTGTGACACCTTCCTTATCCTTTGTCCGGCTATCAGGATCCATTGAATTGCTGTTGTACGCCCTACTACTGTCGTTGCGCTTCCCCGGTCCCCATCACAGTTGATGATCGATCTGATCATCACGTTATGGTATGTAGCTAGGACTTTGATTGGGGAAGGTGAACCGTTCTGGAGCTTACCTACAATGCTGACCCGCGGCGTTTTATTTAATTCAGTCCGGGATTCACGATCGTACTCCTGCTTCTCACCGTCCCTCCCGAGGGTCTCGTACCGACGACGATCGCCAGCAGCGTCCTGTTCCCAACCGCCTGCAGAATCTACAGAATTTGCTCAATTCTGAGCGTCACATCGGCAACTCGGTTGGTGCGCTGGACACTTTGAGACGGGAGTTAGAGGAATATCGTGGCAGATCTTCAATTCTCTCCGAAGAAGTTAGGGCAGATCTGGACCGAGAGTCCCAACAAATCCAAGTTGAACGACAGAACTGGAACCAGTACCAAGACAACGGGAGCACTGCGGGCACTGTGCGCCCGGGAGATCAGAGACCACAGGCGCTGAGCGTGACAGTTGGGGATTCGGAAGGAGGTGCTTCTTATCCCACATGGTCTGACAGGACGAGATCTCTTGCTGAGCTCTATCTCCGCGCAGCAAGGACCAGAAACGCAAATCTAAGGTCTCTCCTCAATCTGCTTGGTGCTCGCATAGAGTCGGTCACGCCTCAGCAATCGGAGGGCGAATCTTCAATGGACCACTGGCGAGCAAAGCGTCGCAAGCTGGAGTCGGATGACCATAGAGAAGGGTTGCAGAATTTCCGTTATGGTCAGTATGGTCAGGTGGTACCTGGAGCACTCAAGATGGAGTTAGCTAGCTGTGACGGAGGCACATACGAACCTGACGGAGAAAGTTCGTGGCCCGAGAATATCCTGCGCAATGACGCCACCGTTTACTGTACGAAATCTAACCGATGCAATTTGATTCTGAAACACCACGCTGGAATCCCTTTTTGCTTGAACAAGATTGTCATCAAGGCGCCGAGGATTGGATACGATGCTCCGTAGGTGCTAAGCTACTTCACACGGTTCCTTTCGCTGCTAACTTCATGCAAAGGATACAGGAAGGGATGGTCTTCGTATCGATGACTTCAGATGATCTTTTGGCTCGTACAGCTGCATCTCATATTCAATGTGAAGCCACGAGACGACCTCAGCGGAACCGGCATAGCGGCATGCAGCCATCTCAGGAATATCTGAACGCGCACCGGCCTCGCTTGCCGAGTCTTCGAGACGCTACACTCGATGCCGGTCTTCGCTCCGAAGGGTCCGAGACCGACGGCGGAAACCTTCCGAGGCCCATTTTGCGGGGCGAGCCTGACCCAGTCCCTGAATTTCGCACCATAACCAATTATGATGAGCAGTCCGACGAACGTTCGGAGGCCAACGAGCGAGATTACGATAACGATGAGACTCCTTATCTCACGGTGAGCGAGCGACTAGGGACTAACCGATTCGATGACGATGATGACGACGACGCCGTCATTTGCTCAGACAGCAGTGAGAGTTCGAGCGAAGGCGACACATCGGAAATGGGTACATTTCCCCAGCGCCGCCGGGCTCTATCAAGACAGATTCGAGCCATGCGACGCCGCTGGAATGCAACACATCCAAGACACCGTCCAATTTCGCCGGATCCACCTTCCGGCCCGCACCATGAAGTCTCAGAACCTCTTGATCCTACGCTTATGAAGCCGCATGCACGGTTCCACATCAAAAGACACAAGAGCATGGTCAGCATCAAGTTTGACCCTCCACCGTAAGTGATACATCCTTTTCCACTCGAGAGGCTTTTGCATGTCTTACTCATTGTTATTCATCTTATACAGCTCAGGAAGATACATCCTTATCAAGCTGTGGAACCCTCATAGCGGAAAGAACATAGATATTCAGAGTATTGTTGCATATGGCTACGGTGGACCGAGATTCTTCCCTGCCGGAGGCTTCAGATGAGGCTTCGGATGACCGCAATATCTATCATCTCTTGTGTGCAAGGGAGCCCCATACGGATTTATCTGTTCGCTTCATGCTGGATGAATATGCACATATGCAATACATAGGTGGTGGTGCACCTCAAAAAGTTCTTGCAGAGACTTGCCCGCCTTTGCCATACACGGCCAGGGGTTAGACACCTGCCGGCCCCTCCTTCCCTTTCTACCATACTTCTCCAATGTCCAAGTTGACGCGCATAGAGAATTCCCTCATGCAGTCAGATGTTCGAAGTCTCTACGGGGGTGTGCATAACTGTCACCCTCGGGTGGAATTGAGATTGTACTAATGTGAGACGACGAAATGAAACCATTTTCTTTGCTAGTCTAGAAGTCACTGCTGAATCTCTTGTCTAGCTTCCCTTCCTATACGCCATACACCATTACCTGAGCTAATACACTCGCCCGGTTGAGATTCTTCTCGTAGAGGTCTTGGGTGAGGGGTAAAAATACCGTTACGAACAGAATTGTTGTGCTAAGGGCAAGCAAATAAGCGAAGACTGCAAACTATTCTGAAGAAGTTCGTAAATATTAAAGTATGATATGTGTAGTAGGGTAGCAGCTGCAAATGGCTCGGTGAAGGAAGAAGCATCCACTGCCCACAAGCAAGACATCAAGCGTACACAAACAAATAGATTGGTAGTCCTCAGAGCGTGAGACTCGGATAAGAGAAAAAGCGAGGAGATGAGCCACCCAACGCCAGGGAAGGGCCATCCTTCCCCTTCAGATATTGTCAACAGAAAATCAAATCCAATCACGAAGTTTGTGTGAAAGATCAGGTAACCTCTCGCCGGCGAACCAGAAAGGAGTTTCGTATGTATGTACAAAAAGAGATGGATGAATCGTATCTTGGTCGTCCGCATTATCGAGAGTGAAAGGAGATATAGTCTGGGGAGGAAAGAGGAAAATGGGAAGAGGGAGCCAAGCGGGATCAACCACGCTATTATGTAGAAGTGCATAGTGCAGAGAGGTAAAGTCGGCCTGGAACCATAGCAGCAGTGTAGTCGGCGCTGGAACCATTCATCATGCCGATGTTATCTCAAATCGAAGCTCTCGTTTCTCGTCTCTCGTGTAAAGATCGTCGTACGCCGAAGATGAAATCTCCTCAGACAATGGACGTCAAACAGATAAGCAAACCAAAATGGTACTCCTGAAAAACAAAAGAGAATCCAACTCCACCCATAGAACAAAGAAAACTCGTATTTTGAATCCAAGAGCGAAAATTCGAATGGATATGTATAGGTCAATCATATGACGACAACGTCTCCCTCAGCGTCCGCTGGGTCAGATGCCATCATGTCACCATATTTACCCACAGTCATCAGCATCGAGTCGTCGTCAAGGTCAATGGCGCTATCGTCATTATTCGGAGCATGGAAGCCAGCAATGCTCTCGGAGATAGTGGTAGGCTTCTCGTTTTCGGTATCGTTAGAGTTGGAATCTGCACCCACTTGAGGCCGATCCAACGAATCTCGAGTTTGGTTCATACTCTCTGCTGAAGTTGGGCTGGGCGTCGGTCTGACTGTTGTGTCGCCAGCGAGCTGAGAATCGGCACTGATCATAGAATTGCTCCGGTCATGTCCCGGCAAGTGCAAGGGCTTCATGAGATATCCACTCTGTCCTTGTGGGTTTGCACCCATGCCAGCATGGTGCAGGGTGCTTGGCTTGTAGAGCATGAACCCCCCTTTCTCAGCCTGCCACAACATCATTTCATGGAAGAAAACCTTGGTCATCCACCAAGCGCTGAAGCTTTGGGCGCCTCCCAGGGTGAGTCGCCGCAAGATGCAATCCCACAGAGCATCAACCTTCTCGATAATGCACTGAGTGCGGTGATGCGGGAAAGCTGCTGGAAGGTTCAAAATGAAAGAGATCCACTTGTCCGGGAAGTTATAGTCATCACCGGTCGCCGCTTCAACAGGAAGTTTGTGTACTTTCGTGTCTTCTTCGGTATCGGGCCTGGTAAAGAAGGGGAGTGTGCTGGCGGGGTTTATGTCTGCGACCGGAGTGAGGAGAGATCGGATATCGTGCTTCAGGATCTGTTCTGTCGCACGCTCCGCGCAACTAGGGATATTGGCTTTCATGATCATTTCTTTCGGGTCAACCAAGGTCTTGAAATCGAACCACATTTGGTTTCTGTTATCGGGGTGGCACAGCCACGCAGCGGCCGCGTTGGCAGATTGGTTGACATCAAGCATATGCTTTAGTAGGTTGCAGAAGATATGCGCTGGGATCAGTCTCGCCAATGAAACATGTGTAGGCTGAGTCTTGAACGTGTCGGCAACGTGGGCTGTGAGCCGCTGCGAAATCGAGCAGAAGGCATCCAAAACCAATTTCGGCACAACTTGCGTGGTGAGCGGTGCTACGAATGCAATCATCTTCTGATACATGATCCAGTCGCATTCTTTGATCCAAGGAGCAAGGTTGGGGTGTGTTAGGAGCTTTTGCACAGGGACTGTCAGGGTGCCATGAAAGGCAGAGAAAAATCGTAGCATGTTCTTTTCCTTGCAGTATCGGAAACTGTCAATGACAGAGATACAATGCGAGCGGTAAAGGGCTGCAAGGGCTGCAGCAATTTTGGGGTCTGTGTTGGCTGGAAGATACTGTTGGATATCGGGGAGCTGGAGATCCTCGTTGTCGATGGAAGGATTGTCGCATGAAGGTAGATCAAGCATCTGGTGAATGATTCTGCCCGCCTGGCTTGCCATGTTTTCAAGAGTGATGGAAGACTCGCCATAAGAATACGAGGGGACGGAACAGCCACACCCTGCATTCGAGGCGTTTGTCGAGAATCTTGGCGTAAACGACATTGTGGGAGAAGGGAACTCGGCGGTATCTGCCGGTGGTTGAGGTGCGACGCTGACACTACAAGCCCCATTAACACTTCGCGTCGATCAACCCTGCGAAGAATATTCACCATACCTTTTGTGCATCATCTCATCAATCTTGCTGTCTGTGACACCAGTGCAGCCATTACCGTTCATTGGTAGTTGAGGGTTGAGTGGTGGCGGCTTCTGTTGTTTCTCCTCAATCACAGTCAAATCCACATAATGGTACTTCGATTCACCGCGGACTCCCAGCCGCCTCGTTTGAACATTGGGGAAAATAATTCGAACCAGTTTCCCGAACGACGCAGGATTCAGCACCGAGACACGTTCAGTACCACACTTCTCGGCATAACAGCAATACACGCGATCGCGTCTGACAGACCCGCTACTTTTCCTGCAGTTCTCCTTCAACCTATAACCAAGTCAGCATGGCTGGTGGAGCCAAACGCAACACTGACGCTTACCAAATCATAGCAAAGACCTGCTTCACCTTCTCAGCCTTGCCCCCAGCACCTTCATGCTTCAAGACCTCGGCAGCCATCTGCTTCAGAGTGAAACCCTCATATTGACGCAACAGTTTTCGAAGCTCATTATCGTTGGCGAGGGAGGAGCTGGAGCCTTTCTTCTTCTTTGCGCCGGCCTCCGAATTTTCGTTTTCCTCCAGAACATGGTCGGGGACGTGGTTCTCGATTCCACTGTCATAAATGGCCGCAAACTGGGGCATCGGCACGCCAGGAATGCCGTGACTCGATAGACCGGCCGACAGCGAGTGATGCGAAAGGTGGTGGCTGTGCATTGCATGACCGGAGAAGTCTTCAGCCCGCGGCATGACAGGATGGTGGGCGTCTTGCAGCGTCGGGTCGAGAGATGCGCCGTTCACCTGGTGCGACAGTTGCTGCCCGAATCGCATGATGATTTCCTCCGGATTACTGGCAAAGACATTGTGGCCTGCGGGTTGCGTGGGCAAGAATTGAGTGAACCCGTCGGTGATCTGTTGGTCTTGGGTCTGCTGAGTCGTGGTGGAGTGGATGCTAGCCGTCGAGCCTCGCGACCGTGGGCGACGGCTGTTCCTTGATACTACAGTTTCCGACCGTGACCGCATGAGATCAGCTGTACCTGGGCGGCTGAGTGGTGCTACTAATTGGGTTGTCTGCGAAGCAACGCTCGATGCCTGCGAGGCCGCTCGGCCCACTGTGCCTGCACGATTAGCAGGCAAAACTTATGAAAGAGCCGCACCGCAGCAACAGTAACAACAACAACAACAACAACAATGAAATGAGAGGAACGGAAGGGCAACCCAGAGAATTAGACGGGTACGGGACAATCAAGGCCCGGTGAACAGAGACAGGTCGCATGCAGGAAGGACTTAGAAAGGTAGTCTCTTACCCATATCAGGAGGCATCTCTTTGTTGACTGGGGGGAAGATTTTCGGCTTTGCTTGGCACAGCACAGCACAGCGCAGTACGCAGCACACGGGGAATTGTGTGGTTTCTTAGTTGCTGGGTGAGAAACGGACGGGGTTGGTAACCACGGGCAATAGCGTCGTCTGTTTTGATCCTTCACGGAACCACCCTTCAACCGCACGAACCCACACCGCAGCAGACGCAGAGCAGGCACGAACACCGAAGAAAAGGCTGGAAGCGTGAGTTCTGTTTGTCAAGGCATTCAGAGGTTGTCGTCGAAGCTGCAGCAGACTGGGCTATGGAAGGCTCATAGCGGCCACGGGGGTTGCAGGGTCGAAGTGGTCGAAGTCGAAGGTCGTCGAGGGAGGATAAACAGAGAAATCCGGTCTCTCAAGCAACGACGCAGCGGTTGTTTGGGTCCCCGTCACGTGGTTTGCTGCTGCGCTTAGCTAAGATGCATTCTTCGCGGGCCAGATAAAAACATCATCCTGCAGAATGCAATCTTCAGGGCAGTCCTTGCTGCAGACAGGGTGAAATGAGCTACTAATAGCCTCTCAGCTCTCTGTCGCATCATGTTTCATTTCTACTCCTAGGCCAATCCTGCACCCCAGTAGGTAGCATACGTATTATTTCTTCACGACTGCAGATGCACCTGTCTGTCACACCAGTCGTCCCATGGTTCATTGTTCTTTGAGATGTGGATGACTAATCTCGGCAAACAATGACTGCTATGACCTCACTTCATTCATCGCCCTGTTTGGCCTGGTTTGGTGGGTAGTATTCTTTTGATGGTGGTAGTGCTATTGTCGTTTATTATCACCCAGCCCACAGAGAATACAAGCCCCTCAATCATACAGCATAGTTGCAACTCAGTCACACGCGAACAACAAATTGATTCTCAACTTGATCTAAATCTATATAATCAACACTGTCCAGTAGTATTTCAAAGGGCCCGTGTTGTGTCCCAGTGTGGTATAATAATCAACAGAATGAACCTTCAAACGGACCCAAACGCCAACTAGCGCCTCATTTTGCCCCGAGACGATTCGATAGATGTCCTTCGACCTGACCTGTCTACTCTTTCTGTGCCTTCAGTCTTTGCTCCCGGGCCTGCCGCCAACCAGGGCCCCATCGATCTTCGATCCACAACAATGGAACCATCACCAATGTGATACCAGCAAGCAGGACAAATGTATAGTCTGCCCCCAGCGCTTCCAGAATGGGTTGTACAGCCGCCACGCCTGCAGCCCCAACCAAACACCGCATCAGGTTGTTGACCGCTGTTGCGCTGGCGCTAGCTCCGGGATAAAGATCAATGACCAACGCGCTGTTGATGGTGAAGATTCCTGTCGCGCAGAAGGCGATGAAGTACTGCAAAATAATGGGAACGGCGACATGAGTGCGGAGAGACACGCCATAGACCGCTGTGGTCACGATGAAGATCCCCGTTATCCACCAGGTGTTTCGCATCCGAGCAACCTCAATGGGGAAATCTGAATGTGATTTGAGATTGACTCGTGTACCCGCCGGGTATCCATGCTTCTCGCAATATTCGCGCTCCGTCAAACGATGGTTATAGTCCATCAAATACCCAACTAGGTAGGACCCTGACATGCATCCGAAACCTAAAGATTTGGTGTCAGCAACCGGAGATGCTGTGATGGTATCCGTTGCGAATTTAACGTACCGTTGCCCAAGAATGTCAGTCCGATCTCAAGTGATGACAAGCCGTAGACCTCGCTGAAAAGATCTGTAGTGCTCGATGTCACCATACTCCATACAGTATACACAATGCTTCCGAAGAAGAGAGTGATGAAGACATCCTTTTCGGCCAGAAACTTCAACGGGGCACAAACAGTCCTCCAAGTCACCTTCGCCTTCTTTGCTTCCGGCTCTGCACCCTCGATAACACCGGGCTGGCTCGTGAACTGATACAGAAAAGGCTTGTGTAGGCCGTGAAGCTTCACAGTGCCATTGCCAGCTATAGGGCGCAGCGTTTCTGGGAGCAGGACCAAGGTTGAAACAAGACTCACGCCTCCGAGAATAGTTAGGAACCAGAAGATGGACCTATACCCCAGGTATTGAGTCAACAGACCACCGAAGACTGGGCCGATGCCTTGTCCAAGCATGCGGACTATCGGTTCTTGTCAGTTGATGTGCCGCCGGAGCATTTCTGAATTTGAAGAGTCAGTCCTCTTACCTCCACCGAAGATGCCCACCAAGCTACCCCGCTCTGCCGAAGTGGTGATGTCGCCAATAACCCCAGCTCCTTGATGAGTGTTAGACGTGCATTGACCTTGGGATCCGAATGTTCCCCTTACCGATTGAGATAGTGGCCGCGCTACCAGCAGCCTGCAAGGCACGAAATGCCATGAGCTCACCATAATACTTGGATTCCGCAAGTGCGATGTTTGCTACTAAGTAGACAACAAAGGTGCCAATGAACACAGGCCGTCGCCCTGTAGCATCTGAAAGCGAGCCCCAAAAGGTTGGCGCGAGACCTTGAACAATCATATATATCGTGATGGTGAGAGTCGCCAGCGTCATGCTGACATTGAGTGACTATTTCCACATTCAGTCAATCTGTCTGGCTCTTTGATGCATCCGTCCACTGCATAGAATATGCTTCGCGTTGACTTACTTGTGACACATCGTCCAGTGCGGGGAAGTAAATATTGGAGGATAGTGGAGAAAAGATGGCAGCCATGGAGACGATGCATACCATCTGCAGTTTGCGAGATCGAGTGAAGATATGATGCACCAGTGGCTCGGACGGTTGACCCTCACATGTGGAAGGGTCTGGCGAGATTGAATCTTTCTCCGAGTCATGATTTATCGAGGAAGCCAACGAGGAGACCTGCGGCTCTGGGACTTTGACCGTATCGTTTCTGAAAGTGGGCATGATTATAGATTGGTTGCAGGTCCAGCCTCGAAGCAACTTGCTAGACAGGTATTTTCACTCCAGAAATGATGAGCAAGAGAATTCCCTGCAGATGGGCAATGTGCGAGGCCAGTGCTCTATATGTCCCGGAGTTGTCAATGCCATCGATGCCACGGACAAAACACGCTCGGACTCCGACAAAAGAAAAGACAGGATGTCCCCACTGCGGAGCATGCCCGGTGGATGAGGTCAATCCGAGGACCTTCCTAGATGGGAGTCAAGTGGATAACACATAGAAGCCTTATCTCATGCACGAGGGCCCGAGTTGGAGGGACCTTTGGCTCCGACCAGTCTCACTTGGCACCCAGTAGCCTAGGTCACATTGGTACGAATCCAGGCCATTGGGCAGCGGACGAAAAGTGAAAGATAGGGAGTGGAAATACCAAGGGTCTCGAGGAGACGGGGCTGATGTGACGACAAATGGCCGGGAGTATGAGTTTCTCAGGCCATTGGAGGGCTGCCGAGTCTATCGATTAGTGCATGAAGCTTTGAGCTGACGAATGCAATCCACCTGCAACATGGGATTGGTGTGTTTCAGGGACCCGGCGCATCTGTCATGTATGGCAGAGTCTAGAAAGAGCGGAGCAAGTACTCAGAAATCTGGACGGGCTATTGAGAGACGGCGGCATCACAGTCGGCGGGTCACTGTGGCAAAGGACGATCATATCCGGCGAAACTGTTGACCAGCGGAGCCGGAGTCTTACACGTGCGTGTTTGCAAGACCGAAATCACACCAAGGTGCGTTCGTCATTCTGGGTAACTAGAGGTCACTATTCAGCTTATCCTGCTGATAAAAAGAACTCAGACCAGTAATGTGGTCGGATAGGCATTTGATATTATCAGAATCTCTCGACATGCCGTTCCCTTCCCTGGAGTGGCAGAAGGGACGAGCATGGACGAGCGATTGCCGGAACGACCGATATGGCCATTGATTGGCAAGATCCTCATTCACAGGATTTACATGGATCTCGGGGATCTACATCGGCTCCATTTGCACCAGAAGAGGGGGGAGGGACTAGAGTCCGGCCAACCCGAAAACCGGTGCCCAGTGCCCCCGAAGTGCTGCCTTAAGCTTGATATGATGGCCGATTCCGCAGACCCGTTGCTAAGGCTTTGGTGGATTTGGTTTCCCTGCAACCTCGTCTGCCGGAGTTTGGAATTCTGGTCTGGTGGAATTTCAGCGGCAATCACGGCCTGGATGGAGCCCACGGCCACTCGGCCTTAGGCTTTAATGATGTGACCTGGAAAGGGGGTAAGCACAGGTAGACCCCTCCCCTGATCTCCAAAGGTCATTGAAGATAAGGATCTACAGGATATGGTAGGTGGACAGGGTCAACTGTAACGTATGCAATAATAGCCCGTGATGACGAAGATACCCGAGCATTGGAGCATCAATGCATGTGCAATATCACGTATTGGAGAGAGCCGATGGCAGAGCAGGGTCGAGACAGATCACAAATAGTGCTTTGCTGGATTAGGTCAATTGCGGAGCACAATGGTGATTCTGATGCTCTCTAGCTCTCCCAAGAAGGAAATTCGTCTCGGCCGTCAAGTGGGAGTTCATCATGTTTCTGTCGGCTTGAAACCGGTATCACATTGCTCAAAGAATTGATATGGGTTATTTATAGTATGCTGTTGCGTGTAGACGTCAAGAGCTAGTTGGATGCAAGAAGAGAGAAAAGGAAGGATGAGCGATAAGAAAGGATGTTAAAGAAGAGAGTCGAGTTGAACTACTCCGTAATGTAGCTTTCTCCTGTCCGCAATGTCGATCTTGGCGAACAAGAGTTTGGCCAGAACAAGGGGGGGGAGGAAGAAGAGTAGGAACAGCCTTCTCCTTGATTAGGGATGATCAGGGAGAAGAAGATTGACAGACGGTGTGATCCTCGGAACTAATTGGATTTTGGGATGACTAGTTCGACAGATTAACGAGGTTAAGTTTGAGAAGTGGAGCGGCGAGGATCGACACCGCCCGCGCCAAGCCCCGGTTGGCTGGCGGTGGCTGAAAACATGAAAAGCACATGCACTGCTTTATGAGTATTTTCAAAGACAAATCATGAATAAATGTTCAATGGGGTAACTTAATGGGCATGGTTGAGAAACGGAGAGCCAAGCTTACCACTCATTTTACGAAGTCTGTTCTCGAATCGACTATAGTAATCATCAAGCCTAGCATAGTGTTGTAGCATCTGTACATCTGTACCTGATAGTATGGGAACTATATTATATTCATAGTAGTACAGGACAACTACATATACTCCGTTCCATGCCCGGCACAAAGGGGACCTGCAGCACATGATCAGTTTTGCTTCTTCACGAATCCCCCCTAAACACCTTTCTCGTGATTACACGCCACTAGACTGTTGGCGATAGTGGTCTTGTTGCTCTACAATGATCCTTGCCAACAGCGACCTTTATCTCCACGAGCGAGACAAGACAATAGCGTCTCACTCCAAGACATTGAGCCTGCAAGCCAAGAGAATCCGAATCCGACACACAAATTAGGCCCTCATCGTCTGAGCCGGTGGCCATTAAACTTGGGTCCACTTTATGGACAACAGTCAAGTCGGAAGAGAATGGATGTTTGTCGGGCCGTCGACTGATGTCGGTCGAGAAATCCTCGGTCATATCACACACCTGACACCCAAGGACTGCTGCTACTATCACTACTACTGCTTACTGCCCTAGCGAATCAAAAAAAGTCAGTCCTAATATCAACAAAACAACACTATCAACATTCTCTCCTGACGCTCACGCTTCTCATTAGACCCTTATCAACAAGTGATCGATTGACCTTAACCCTCCTGAACCGGGCCCGAACTTCCGAGGAGCATAGCAGCAGATCTATATCATTTCTACAACTCCCGATAAAATCATATTACTCTAGTGCGCAGTCGCATGTCGTCAGCAACCCCCCACCCGTCGCGCCTCTGCTGACTTGAGGACCAATCGATTGCACCATTCGGTGCCTTATCTCAAATGCCCAGCCGACCAAACAGTATACTCTACAAACTACAGGCGCTTCTCCCGACACCCCTATCACGCTTAGTCTTGGCTGCAGCACGACAGTCGCTCGAAGAGAGGGACAAAATGCAATTTAATCTATGACCCTTGTTCGGTAGCCAAGTTGCTCTAAGCCTAAGCCTCCACCCTTCCCTCCCCTCCCTTGTCCCGTTTGTTGTCTGCCTACCGGGCCGGTGCCTACTCGCTATCAATCTACCGCCGCCTTCACCTTGACCTTCACCTTCACCTTTACGGTGCCTGAACAACGTCACCGTGAGGACCCTGATAACTATTGTCAACTCCTTCCTATCATGGCAAGAAGCTATGGACTAGCCAGAGGATTTCTCGTGGGGGGAGCAAATATAACCCGAGCCACCCGCGGCGCCGTTACAAGGGTCTCAGCTCAGGATAGCATCCTGCAGATACCTCAGCTGTGGGAACTGGGAACGGGGACATCTTCCTGCCGCACACACTTCACCATCACCCACCACATCATCATCCATCCCGCTGCGTGTCTAAGATTTCTGATAGAAATCTCTGCAGTCAGAACGGATCATGATGGTAGATCTTGGCTACGACGTGACTGGTTTTGCTGCGACGGGCTAGATCCTTCCGATATGAAACCCTTGTAGTTACTAGTTAGTGTATGCATGTACTATACTCACAGCCGTCTAGTCTCTCGGCTCGGGAAGCCGAGAGAGGAGCTTCCGGGTTGGTTGGAAGTCTTCTGTTGTTGTATCTCTGGCGGTGAGATGAGAGCAAACCGCTGTAAATCCGAAAAGACGAGCAGGGCGAAGAGGTTGGTTGGCATTGGGTGTGGAGAATCAAGGACCGTTCCCACGATTTGCCGGAAACACCACGGCAAAGACCGGGTCTGGCCGATGCAACCCTTTCATTCTTAACTACTTACTCCGAGTTCCTTACAAGAAGAATTGCCAGTCGGATACCCCCCAAAGGGATCATATGAAAAAATAAAAAAATAAAAATAAAAATCAAATTTACACACCAGACCTAATTACTGCCTTGCATCTTCTAAACAAAGGAAATATATCGACGAGGGGGATAAGAGATCAGATAGAAAATACACAAGGCCACCAAGGCTCGGGCAAATAAGGAGAAAAGGTCGTCTAAATGATAATGAAAAGGATGAGCGTAAGCACGACTTCCTCCATACGTTTGCCTGATTGATAATGAAAATCACTCATGCCAACCAGAGACAGCTGCAGCAGGATTATGTCATGTCTCCGCCTGGTACAAAGTGACGATGATCACTCAATCTAGACCAGATCCCTCTTGACAAATTCGGCCAACAGGGCTTTGCCAAGAGCAGCGGGGCTTCTCTCGACAATGACACCAGCCTTCTCCAAAGCAGAGATCTTCGAGTCAGCGCCACCCTTGCCGCCGCTGACGATGGCACCGGCGTGACCCATACGACGGCCCGGGGGAGCACTGATACCGGCAATGAAACCAACAGCGGGCTTGTTGTGCTTGTTGTTAGCCTTGAAGAACTCGGCGGCATCCTCCTCGGCGCTACCACCGATCTCACCGATCATGATGATACCATCGGTCTCGGGGTCCTCGAGGAAGATCTTCAGGCAGTCGATGAAGTTGGTACCGGAGAAGGGGTCACCACCAATACCGACAACCAGGGACTGACCCAGACCAGCCTGGGTGGTCTGGTTGACAGCCTCGTAGGTCAGGGTACCGGAACGAGAAACGATACCGATACGGCCACGCTTGTGGATGAAGCCAGGCATGATACCGATCTTGCATTGGCCCTAGCGTTTCGAATAACACCGGATGTTATTACCAGGGATTGGCCGAGCACAGGGGTCTTTAGTGGCTTGGGTACTTACGGGAGCGATGATACCAGGGCAGTTAGGACCCACCAGACGGGTCTTGTTCTGCGTCTTGAGGATGTCCGTGATACGGACCATGTCTAAAATCCCGTTGGTCAGGTTTCCGTCCGAAGTAGGAGCTTAGCGCTTGCTGCAATTCAGGAACATACCGTGCTGAGGAATACCCTCAGTGATACTATATCAAAGTTAGCACCAGCCGCATCCCGCATCCTAGCAGCCCAGTGAAATACGTACCAGACAGCGAGAGGGATCTCGGCCTCGATGGCCTCCTCGATACCCTTGGCAGCCAATGGGGGACTAGAACTATTAGCACCGGACATGTATATCCTCATTACGACACCAGGTCCTTACGGAACGAAGAGCGCAGTAGCAGTAGCGCCGGTCTCCTTCACAGCCTCGCTCACATTGGCGAAAACGGGTCTGTCCAGGTGCAGGGATCCGGCCTTCTTGGGGTTGGTTCCACCAACAACCTTGGTGCCTAGCAGTTGTAAGTTTCCCATAGTAGGTCGCTTGGCGTCGGCGTAGATAGGAAGGAAGTAATACCGTAGGCGATAGCTTGCTCGGCGTGGAAACTGCACACGATCGGGAAAAAAGCAACGTCAGCGATATATGCTTGATAACTTTCGCAAACGGTCATAATACGTACGTTCCCTGCTTTCCAGTGAAACCCTGGAAGATCACCTTCGTCTCCGAGTTGATGCGAAGGTTGTTGACGGTCTCACCGTAGATCGGGCTGGCCGAAGCTGCGTATCCCCGGCGCTGCGTGGCAGCAGCATTGCGAAGAGCAGAAGCGGTGTTACGGCGGAAGGCCTGCATTTTGGTCGGGGAGAGAAAAAGGAGCCCGGGGAGAGGAAATGAGAGGAGAGGGGACGAAGAGAAATAAACACTCGAAAACGTGCGAGTACTTTTATAGGGGGGGGGGCGCGTGAGTAGAGGTATACAGAGGGATCAAGCAAGAGAGAGAAGAGGCCGTCAGAAACGCGATTTGGGAACTTTCGGGACAAAGCTTTAAGCGGATCCGAATTGTCACGGGCGGTCGGTCCTCCCGCTTTTTTTCCCTCTCCCTTCAGCTTCACGCCTGCCGCGTGCCATTCCCGGGTCACAAGTCACGCTTGTTATAATTAATATTACCTCCTCCTTGAAGTATACTCCTGACGACGTGAACCGTCGCGGGCGCAAGTGCTAGGACCTAACCACCTTCATCTGCGAAGACAACTTCTCCCTAAATTTTACTTGGCGACCGTCGCCCGCATCCCAACCACTATGGCGACCGCCACCATGACTATGTCGGCAACTTCGAAGCCGAAGAAGAATGCCAAACTCCCTTCGGAAAACGAACGTTTCATGCGGGCTTGTTCCGATATTGCGAACGCCTTGATCCAGGACCATGAATCGCAGAGAGATCCCACGAAGCCGCGCAAGGATATCAATCTCAACAAGCTGCGGGGTCAAATCGCCAAAAAGCATGCCTTGTCCACTCAACCGCCATTGACGGCCATCATCGCTGCGGTTCCCGAGCACTACAAGAAATATATCCTGCCCAAGTTAATCGCAAAGCCTATCAGTACGTTGACGTTGCCGATCGTGAGGATTGCCCGCATATTCTAATCGCTGCTGCTAGGAACCTCTTCCGGTATCGCTGTCGTTGCGGTCATGAGCAAACCCCACCGTTGTCCCCATATCGCCTATACAGGAAACATCTGCGTCTACTGCCCTGGTGGCCCCGACTCTGACTTTGAGTACTCTACCCAGTCCTATACTGGCTACGAGCCCACGTCCATGCGCGCCATCCGGGCTCGCTATGATCCCTTCGAACAGGCTCGAGGACGTGTAGACCAGATCAAGTCTCTCGGCCACAGTGTTGATAAGGTGGAATACATTATCATGGGTGGAACATTCATGTCCCTTCCGGAGGATTACCGAGAATCATTCGTGGCCCAGCTTCATAACGCCCTCAGTGGATATCAAACCGACAACGTCGACGAAGCGGTGCAGGCTGGTGAGATGAGTAACATCAAGTGCGTCGGCATTACGATCGAGACGCGACCCGATTACTGCTTGGATACCCACTTGAGCAGTATGCTCCGCTATGGATGCACACGCTTGGAGATTGGTGTCCAAAGTCTGTACGAGGATGTCGCCCGAGATACAAACAGAGGTCACACTGTCGCTGCGGTGGCGGAAACCTTCAAGCTTGCGAAAGATGCCGGGTTCAAGGTGGTCAGTCATATGATGCCTGACCTCCCCAATGTCGGCATGGAGCGCGATCTCTACCAGTTCCAGGAATACTTCGAAAACCCAGCCTTTCGGACTGACGGTCTGAAGCTCTACCCCACCCTCGTCATCCGTGGAACAGGTCTCTACGAGCTATGGAGGACAGGTCGTTACAAGAACTACACTCCGAACGCGCTGATCGATCTCGTCGCTCGTATCCTCGCCTTGGTCCCCCCATGGACCCGTATTTACCGTGTCCAGCGAGACATCCCCATGCCGCTGGTCACATCTGGTGTCGAGAATGGCAACCTCCGCGAACTCGCCCTGGCCCGCATGAAAGACTTCGGAACGACCTGCCGCGATGTCCGAACCCGCGAAGTGGGCATCAACGAAGTCAAGAACAAGATTCGGCCCTCGCAGGTGGAGTTGGTTCGTCGCGATTATTACGCGAACGGTGGATGGGAGACTTTCCTGGCCTACGAGGACCCTAAGCAAGACATTCTGATCGGTCTCCTGCGTCTTCGCAAGTGCAGCGCCACGCATACATTCCGCCCCGAATTTACCGGCCAACAGACGAGTATCGTCCGCGAGCTGCACGTCTACGGCTCCGCCGTGCCCCTCCATGGCCGCGATCCCCGCAAGTTCCAGCACCGTGGCTTTGGTACCCTGCTCATGGAAGAGGCCGAGCGGATCGCCCGTGAGGAGCACGGCAGTCAGAAGATCAGCGTCATCTCCGGAGTAGGTGTTCGCAGCTACTACGCCCGTCTGGGCTACACTCTGGACGGTCCGTATATGTCGAAGATGCTGGAGCCCTTCGAGGAGGACGAAGAGTTCTTCTGATATACCCCGCGGAATCACCATGGACGCTTGTCCTCTTATTTCTCTTTCTCTTTTTCATGATCTAATAATGTCTTTCGATAAATGGAAACTTGTGATTCGGGGTATTGTTTCACAAAAAGTGTGCTATTCTGTCTCGACCATGGGTTGGGTTCACATAGGGGCGTTGCAAGGCGAAAACCAAAAGCAATCAACGGTGGCGATGTCTTTTTACTTTCCCTTTCTTCCTATCTCATTTCTGCATACCTACTTTTTATTTTGGCTAGGTTCTCATAGCGATGTGGTGAATAACTTGCTTACAAGGATGGCAACGACTTTATAGAATGCGTGTATATATCCGGAGGGGGTCAGCAAGAATTGGAACCATTCTTCTGCAATGGTTGCGGTTTCGCAGCAGATAGGAAGATCTTCGTCAATGATCTAGCTTTAGATATAGAACGCAGTAGGCAACACATGACCAAGAGCGAAATGTTGTCGACACAGAAGCAAAAGACGCGCTCTTTCACAAGACTAACGAACTATATACATACATACCATACACCCATCTTCACGGGTCTATGAAGAATAAAAGCAAACGGACACTGGCGAGAAAAAACAGGGCTGGAGGATCGGACATTGCGCAAGGCACAGGAGCGGACAGCGCCGAATCTAAAACCATCTCTCGTCGGAAGAAACGCCTAATGTCTCGATAGGGCAAGACAGATAGTCGCTAGCCATCTACACGAGAGAAGGGACACAAATAAAGCATGGCACCCCACTTCTCGCGCGGAGGGGGAGAAAGACGCAGCCACCGGTGCCTTCTTTCAAGTGCAAACAAGGCAGCAAACCCGCGCACAATCAATAATGTTTCATTTCATTTCAGAAGGAAGGTGGGATATATGAGCGTAGCGAGGCAGGGAAGGTTCTCCACAACACGAGGCAAGCGGAGTGGTAGGTGGGAGTGAGGGGAGACGAGGATATGAATTTAGCTCAAAGATATGGCTCCGCCCCTGCGGCTTCTCGTATGCAGGTAGGCCTGGAAGGCACAGAAAATGAAGAACGCCTGTGAATTGCAATTGCGGCTGTCAGCGTTTGTGATGTATGGGCCTTCGCGTCGATCTCTGCTGGAAGGACTGGAGGAGAATTGAACGTACAGCGTAGACAAGGACAGCGGTGTAGATAGAGGCTGCGACTGCGGCGCCATTCTCCGGCTCGTCTTCGCCGCCCGTGAAGCCGTGGTGTTCCCTCTGTGGCAAGGAGTGTATTGTCAGCATGGTGTTTGCGATGGTTTGTGGTGGACGGGATTTCGTGGGAGGGTGAGATAAGGCGACATACTTGGAATAGTGATCCCAGGACCGAGAGGATGATGATGGCGAAGAGAGAGATGACCACGCTTGGGGTTTGCTGTTAGCAATTTCGTTGCATTGCAGTCGTTGCTTGATGGTTGTGACTGTACCAGGACCAAGCGTTCATCAAAGATACGACAGGCTTCATCTTGTTGGCTGGAGGGGTGTGATAGCTTGAAGGCTGATGATACGGAGGGGGTGTGGAGCGGAACGGTCTCGCTGAATAGGGACAGGGCGGAATTGAGAGAACTATAGTGGTGCGAGGAATAATGTCGATAGACGGACAAGGTGCACGCAGATAAGGAGAGTCAGTTGGATCCAGTCCAGGCTGGGATTCAGATCGATGGGAAGAGAGGCCGTGTTGCATAAGGTAGGCTGTGATGTCGGAGGATCTCAGCAGCGGTTGCGGGTGGAGCGCTTGGCACTAAACCGCATTTGGCGCTGATGGTCGTTCTGGTTGTCTCGACCTGCTGGAATGGCCGCGTCATTCCACCAGACAATAGAGGCCTATGTTCTTACAGGTGAATACAAGTGTTGGAAGAATGGATATTGTGCATTATAGGTACAATAAAGGCATCTCGAATTGTTTGAATGATAGTCAAAGCTGACATCTAGTACTAGCCCTTTCTGGCAGATATATATTTCTGTAATCAAATTCATTCCGTTTTATGTACATACATGGCACACCCAGGCCTGAGCTCTGCCATCAAGGATTGAAAGCATGCTCAATGAAGACCAATCTAATGCGTCTTGTTCCATTCTATACATTCATCAAAAGTTACCCCAGAGCCGCCAAAGATATCCAAAGCACTTCCAATGGTCAAATCAACCTTCCCCTGACTGTTGGCGTGAACCATTTCCAGATCCTGCAAACTGCGAGCACCACCGGCATAGGTGACGGGAATCGTGCACCACTGGGCTAGTCTGGCAATAAGCTCTTCATCTACACCCTGCTGCAGCCCCTCTACATCTGCGGCGTGGATGAGGAACTCAGAGCAATAAGGCTCCAGCAATGAGATTGATTCTGCTTCAGTCAGTTTTGTACATTGGCCGAAGTAGAACGTAACAATAGCCCCGGTGCGCAAAGACTAGTCGGCACATCTCTTGCCCTTCTATCATACACCAACAGCAAAAAGGGCCGGGTAGGCTAAAAGGGCCGACAGGTAGAAACTTGCCTTGGTTGATCTCCATCTCAGTGATAGTCTGCCAGCGGTTCATGGCTACGAACCATGTGTTGTCCTTTCTACGGCAACTCAGATCCAAGACCAGCTTTGATCGATCACCTCCCAGGGCATAAAGAACCGATTCGAGTCGGTCCTTTGAGAACTTGCCCTCAGGGAAGAGGAATGAAGTGATGATTACCTATGAGCGCAGGTTAGTCTTGAGATGGTGCGCACAACCAGGTCAAACAAAGTGAGATATAGACACGAATGGATAGGAAAGCCAGACGGATAGGACCCGATAAGAGACGTCTGAGCGACACCAAATCTACAGTTGTATTGCGGACTCGGTCTGAGTAGTTTGAACGGAAATGCAAGTATAGAGCTCACCTTCTCGGCACCCTGGTCGATCCAGTACTGAGCGTTCTTATCGGTGATACCTCCAGCCACTTGCAGACCATTCGGCCATGCTCGAAGTGCTTCGTGCGCTGCTTCATCGTTGCCTGGGCCCAGCATGACGACGTGCCCGCCATGCAAATCGTGCTTCCGGTACAACTCAGCATAGTAACTGGCCGGGAGCTTGGAGACATAATTCGTCTTCAGATCCGTGGCAACATTGCTTAAAGTTCCGCCCACAATCTGCTTGACTTGCCCTGAGTGAAGGTCGATGCAAGGCCGGAATTTGGTCATATTGTCTAGTTTAATGCCCGTTCAATGCCTTCTTGTAAATGCCGATATGTTACAAAAACGATCATCTTCTGTGGAGATTCAACGAGGGGCTGAGCCTATCTTATCACACGTGACTGCGATGATGGCTGACATAATCGCATCTTACGGCTAGTTCTGAAGTCGCATGGGCCTTTTTATTTTTTACTTTTCTTTAAGAGTCAAATTCTCGGCACCTCTCCCATCTAGCAGAACAATTCATCGAGATGATTGGAAAACGGAAGAGAGACAAGGCCGTTGTGTCGAGGGTTACGGATTCAGACGACGAAGAGACGCCGCAAACGACTACGGGGTCCTCCCAAGACATTTTTCGCAAATTCTTCGAAGCTCAATTTCAACCGCTGGACGTACCTGGAGGTCAGGTCGCTCGCAACGATGATTCAGAGGAAGAAAGCGACGAGGAAGGGTCAAAGCATTCCGACGCAGAATCGAATTGGGACGGTTTGAGCGGCGACGAAGAAGAACCAGAAGAGGTGCAGGTAGTTGAGCATCGGGATATAAAATCCCAGGATCTGATGGACAAGAAGGCGCGCAAAGCGTTCATGGTAGGATCATCTCTTGACAATCTAGAGACATTGATTGTTCTAACGTAGGTGTAGACCGCTAAACCGCCGTCCTTTGCCGTCGAGAAAATCACGGCCAAAGCTCCGAAGAAAGACACCGAAGATGACAATGATGACAAGGAAATCGACGCGGACCATCTGAAAAATGACCTGGCCTTGCAACGCCTTCTCAAGGAATCTCACCTTCTTGAGTCAGCGTCCGACCTTGCCCCGACTGGCAAGAATCGCATCAAGGCTCTCGACCTGCGGATGCAGGAACTAGGATCTAAAGAGTCCCTATACAAGCAGATGATGCCATCCTCACACCGAAGAGGCATAAAAGCCAAGGCGGAAATGAAGGAGAACAAGCGTCGGAAGGAAGCCAGAGAGAACGGAATTATTCTTGAGAAACCGGCGCCCAAGTCGGATACCACCAGCTCCAAACGACGAGAACGTGGTGTTGGGGGCCCCTCTGTTGGAAAGTTCGCTGGCGGAACCCTGAACCTGAGCAAACGTGACGTAGCCACCATTCAAGGATCAGGTCGGTCAAGCGGAGGTAGAGGCGGAGGTAGAGGCAGAGGTAGAGGCAGAGGCAGAGGCAGAGGCAGAGGACGTCGCTAGTTTCGACCTTTGGTCCATGACACCTGACAACCAAACATGACATTCTCGACTCCCTTGCGCCCGAAGCACACCATTGTCCATATCGTTTCTGGCTCAGGGCATGCTCTTGCCTCGATACCGATTACCCGTGAAAAGAGGGGCTGTAGTTGTTATTGACCACGTGAGTAGCCTCGAACTGCCAATCCGTTTCACCAACGCGCCTTAACCCCTCTCAACGAGCGTGAACGCCCCAGCCGTTTGTGTGATAGGTTGTTTCGAGTTTTTCTTGATCCACGCCAAGTTGGGAGAATGACAGAGCTCTCACCGCAGCCTTTCTCATGTTGAGCGCATCAGGATGGTGCCGGCCTTCATTCTGCGACGTTGAGTCTACTATAGCACCCCTAACCTGATCGCACAAACCTTATTCTGGCAAACTCTTGACCGGGGCTGCGAAGCACGTACCCTTAGCGTGGAGTTGTTCCAGATATGGCGAATTCTCCGAGTCGAGCTAATGTTTGAGAAGGAGGACTCCCAAACCTGAGACAGATCGCTTCGTTTAGGATGTTTGGGGATTTTTGACCATGCATGGACTCCTTGGAGATACAGCAAGAGCCTTCCCCAGTGGTTGGCTGCTGGTAGCCGCATAGCGCCATTCTATAAACACCTGAAGCATGGTCATGCTTTGATCCAATTCCTTATCACACACAAAAATAGAAACAGGTTCTCTCTTTTCCCACTGTCCCAGTGATCACGGAGCAACCGTTAATCAGTTAGTGTTAGCAGTTTAGTGTAGTTCAAGCGACGCGACAGAACTAAGAACTACTGACTAGTTTAGCTCAACTAGATTGTGATTGATTGTACTTGCATGACCGTGTAGTGCGATGATGCAGTCTTGCAAACCAAAATGCCGTGTCGGAAATTCTTTCTCTCTATTCCTTCCTCCATATCCCAACTTCCTTGATTTGACTCACTTGCCTTTTATTTTCCACATCACTCACTGCCTTCTTCTATTTTTCCAATAGTTCCAGTCTAGACTAGCCGAGGACACTTTGCCCCTATTTTCTTTCTCCATTGATCTCCTCCTCGGGAGTCAACCAGGCCTAGGTGGACCAGGCCTAGGCGGAATTTAGGGGGGTGGGAGGAGGATCTAACATCCGATGATATGATTGAGTTTTCTCGGTTCTATGGTTACGAGCAAGTTCTCAACCCCCGATCTAGTTCCGAGTGGATTGTTCCTGGTCCTGGGTCTCCACCCGAGGCAAGCAGTTCCCTTTCACCCACTGTGCCGGGGTACCTGCAGGACTGATTGATATTAATAGGCTTAGTACGTTAGGAGGACAAATGGTTAGATCAAATGAATCGTTGGGAATCGAATGGAGTGGATTACTGGGAGATTCCCATGATCCCATCGCGTCGTAACCGTGGGCGAGCATGAAGGAGAATGGGGTCAAGAGTCAAGACTAAGAGCTGCTCAACTAGTCAGGTACCAGTCTCTTTGATTTGTCAGTCAATGCTCGACTTTGGGGTTTGTCTCATTACTTAGCGTCCACTAGTCAAATATGGGTAGAGAAACTAAACTGGAATAAGCCCGGCCCATGTGCGAGGTTCCGACCGAAAAAAAAGAGAGAGAGAGAGAGAGAGAGAGAGAGAGAGAGAGAGAGAGAGAGACGAGGAAAGAACACTACAGTCAGTCAAATAACTTGTCGTTGTTTCAGATTCTGCACGTAACCCAATTCCGAGCAGGGCATCACCACCACCGCCACTACAGCTCATGGAACGTGTGTCTAGGCAGAGTCAGGTGCTCACTGTACTTAACCACATGTACTAAGTTGATTGACCTCTTTGCCTGCATGCACTTTTCGTCACAGGGGGATCCACCCAAGCTACACAGTTTCTCCGGTCATTTTGGGTTTCTAGGCTCTTGATAGTCGAGTAAATAATACCGGGCTTCCTACGGAGTACCTCACTGACCTATACCACAGATCAACTAAGAAACAGCATAGACATCTCAGTGTCCAGCGACGACGAGTCCAAACATGCGTATTACCTACAATGCGGTTATGCAACCGTCTCCTTTCGTGCTCGGACCAAGCCATACGAGGTGCTCAGAATTCACTAGTTCGAATATTGAACTACAACCATTCGATCATTGGAGAGTTGCCATGATTCATGGTCTCAATGGACGGGACAACTGATGGTTCACGGGTCGACCTGCCGGATGTCCCATCGCTGTGGTTGGTAGTACTCCATACACGACGCCCGAGGTTTAAACGAAGAGGGAACAATGGCGCTGATCAGCCCCATCCCGACGTATCCGCTTCTCCTGTGAGGTTGTTCGACCTCCCCGACTCGCATTGCTTGGCCGATGCCTAGCCAGGCCAAGATCGAGATGGGCCGGCTCGCATTTTGCTGTCCGATTCACGGATCAATGCTACTTTGAGGATAGCAAGCCAGGCAGTTCTGCGAAGGACAAAGGCGCGACTGCATGCTATGGCCTATAGCAGCGACGTAGCTCCAGGGGTATGCCCTTTCGTGACCGACGCTGATGCCTTCTCTGTACACTGGACTTCATCCAGTCTGCAGTTCTAAGGAATAACCAATAGCTAATCCAACGGCATGTGCGCCTCGACCTCCCCCGCACGTTCGCAAGTCTCAGAATCTCATCGACTGTGCGCCAGGCTTGTTAGCTTCATCTTGCGATTATTAGATAGTTTAAGTCGAGAACGGAAAGCAGATACAACTACAAGGACCAAGCACTGGTCTTTACTACATCCGATCTCTGTAGGCTTAGCCTCTAGAGCCTGGCAGCGAGCCTCGTCGCGACTCGCGAGATGTGCATCGCACTGACGTGATGCCGCTGAGCTTTTCTAGATGGTTTCGGGGGTTAGACGATCAAACGAAGGCCCGTTGCGCTGAGTAGACTAAGACTTTTTCTGGGTGATTTATCCCGGAGACTGACTCGTGGTCATAGGTGTGTTTCTCTATGGTAATTGTTTGTTGACTACGATCCCCGGTTGGTAGCGACGGTAGTGGTAATTTATGGTTCCAGTCCGTCTGCCGAGAACCCCATAGAATCAGGTACAATTACCGGATTGGGCCTGGTATGGTGACTTTAAGGTCTAGAAGGATTTTACCCATCAGGAGAGCTTCTCTGCCAAGCTAGTCTGGGATGCTACCGTAGTCAGTCCACTGCTCCATCCGGAGAGAAGGGAGGGAGGAGTACTTTACTCCATCGTACCGTGTTGCCTTGCAAAAGGGTTTCCTCCCTATACGCCCGCTCTTTCCTTCTCGCCTCTTCTCGCCCTGTCGGAAGATCACTACCCGTGCACTCCGAAGGGTATACGTAGTCCTCTTCGGAGCGGGCGTCATAGATTCCCAAGACCAGAAAGATACGGGGTAAGTGAAAGTTCTTGCACATCGTCGGTCCCTCTCGGACTTCGGTCATCTCCAAATGTAGCAACCAGCCTCCGCCCTTTTAGTCAATTTGATTGTTCTTCGACCGGGTCGTCGGAGAATTTTCTTGTGGGAACCTGAAGGGTAAAGTGGTGAAGGGTCTCTTGCGACTGATCCCCAACGATGACAGCGCTTTGATGTCAAGACTGCCTAGATTCCCCCTGGATAGACCAATTCGACTATAACAGCACGGTACCCCTTTATCTCTCAGTACATTCATCGTACTCATGGTTGTTGATAGCTTCGGCCGAGTCAGTGGAGTGACTGAGAGACTGGGTGACCGAAAGGGCGGAGCTTACATAATTCCAATGGGAGGGTCGAGCCAATCATCATGGCGCGGTGGAGGAACAGCTGCAAGTCCGGTGCATGATGACGGTATTCTACATGCAGTGTGTGCTGCTTGCTATGAAGAAATGGTACTTGGGTCTGCTGTCCGTGAGGTATATCGAGTAAACCTCTTACTGCTGAGTGGGAGGGCAGCTAGAAGTGCTTCGCGACTATCATATCTCGGAAGTGGCCGCCAGTTTAGATAGTCAAATCAGAGGGCTCTGTGATTAAGCTTCGCTGTGTCCCGGTCTATCTTTCGGTAGGTGTGCAGATCGGTTCGCCGTTGATGTTCCAAGAGATCAACGTCTCTCGAGTTCTGGCCTGTGAAGATCTCTGGGATACCAGGAGTGACGATGCATCTGTCCTCTTGCTCTTGTCAAGCCGAGTCCGAGGGAAACTTCGTAAGTAAACCCTCAGCTACTAGTGTTCCGGATTCCCACTCCTTCATGTGTTCGATTCGAATTCGATAGTCGTGTCTTCGGCTTCCATTATACAACCCCGAGTAGAGATGGATACGGGCAAACTCTCCGTACGTAGAACTCGATTAGAAAATCCATGGATAGGTCGAATTTCGCAGACCCGTTCACTTTCATATGACTGCAGCCTTATGCGCGTGGTAACGGGCAACACGGACCCAAAATTGATGTGTCTCAAAATTGAAGAAGCTTGGATAAAGCAACCACCCCCATATGATAAATTAATTAAACTACTCCGTAGATCCTCGTCTGGTCCCTCTGAGGTTTAACGGAAGTGTACGGAGTACAGTACCTCGCAACTTTTGATTGCGATAATCAGTGCTAAATCTTATGCATTTCATGTTATAGGCAATTTGCCAGCGATTATGGCCTGATAGCTAGACGCTAGAGCGGCGGTGGGCTGCACGACCCTCTCACTGAACCATCTCCTCGGAGATGGACATCGGGCACTACGACTGATTGATGATTGATCACAGAAGAGACTGGAAGAGAGGGAGGACCGAAAGATAGGTACCTAGCACCGAGCTTTTGATGGACGGCAAGCGGATATCAGAAACCTTGCTGGGCTCGATCTTAAGTGGCGCCATTGGCGCTGCTGCTTGGTCGCTCGCAGAGCAGTGTATATGGACCAGTAAGAAGTTGATGGACCGTTGAAGTATGTATATACCTGGCCCTTAGGTTGCTATATTTATGGCATGGGGTCCATGCATGTTTAAGGAGAGACTATCACACACTGTACAGCACCTTGAAGGTGGCTACCGAGTTGGAAAACAGCACATGGTCGAGGATGATGGGGAATTTTTGGGGATAAGTGGCGAGTAGATATACAGTGAGTCCCAGCAACTCTATCTCGGTCTAGAGATCACGTAAGAGTGGAAAACTCGATCCATTTTCAGGTGCAAGCGCTCCCTAAGCGAGAGCGTTTGTTGTCTACCTATTCCGTACACCTTGCAGAGATGTTCTCTGGCGCTGCTCGGATGCCCGCAGATAATCCCTGCATAGTACATACCTACAAATGTCCCGATTATCAGACACCGCCGCTGGAAAGAGCGGCAGTAAGATACCTCATCAGATGAGCATTGACCGTGTCACAGCACTGCCATCATTTGCCGAGCGAGCTATAACATCACATCACATAACATAGCATAGCATAGCAAGTCCGACATTCTTGACCACAGTAGCACCCACACCCACCCCAATTCATTGGGACGGGAACTAGGCTTTTCTTTTCTGCTATAGATGGTTAGCTACCTTCCAGCCTGAAGGAGGCGGACTGAAGGAGCGGGAAGGGGAAAGAGCCGGAGCAGGCAAGGCAAGGGCACAGACGGAAATCAAGTGTCTGTGAGGAGCAGGACTGGAAGGTGGAGGTATTGGGCTCTTGCTGAATTTGCACCTATTGGGGCGACTGAGGGAGAATCTGAGAGTCTGAGACGGGCAGCGCAAGCGGGCCAAAAGGGATACAGCCTGGCTGCGATTGGTGGCAAGCTAAGCGCTCACCCAGGATCCTGAGATCCTGAAACAAGGGGGCGAATGCTTCACGATTGTTTCCCGCGCCAGTTTTATCGGGAAGTGCAGCCTTGGCATGGACCTTCCGGTTCCACCCTGTGCAGCGCCGTTGGATGATTGTTTCCTCGACTGCTTGCTGTTATGAGGTAGCCAGACTAGCAGCATGTTTATTTTTTTTCTCGTTTTCCTGTTCTGAGAAGCAGCCAAGTTAGCCGCCGCGTTGAGTAGTTTGCTGCGTGTGGGCCGAAGGGAGAGGGGGGCGGGCAGAGGAAAATGGCAGGAAAGCTGGAATTGGCCCCCTGGAAGCGCCCCCAAAAAAAGATGGGATAGTAACTTTAGTTATGCATGTATGTAGACATATCATATACTCAAGCTCGGATGATCTTTGACCACCAACCCTTCAGCTCCAGCTTCAAAAACTCCAAAAGCGAATGAACGGACAAAGAATCCAATGGCCCCTCTGGAAGAATGGATAGACTGCTATACTTGCTGTGTAAGCGAATCGCCATAGTTAGTGATTCGCCTCCGGTAGCGAGATGAGTTATCAAGACAGGTCCCGAGTATCTAATGTCTTTCCTCACATCTATCAGGTGAGTAGGCCAATTAGTTCCCCCACTCCTAGCGCCAGTAACTTGCTATGCAATTATGCATAGTTCTACCTCGCAGTCTATGATACAATCGACATGAGCCATTGCTAAGTTAACTGACTAGCCTCAAGATGCTTTTTGTCATCAATCTCCTCATCACCACTTGTCCTCAGTATTTTGCCCCTGAGTCTACTCCCCGGTTGACCGCCTGTTGAAGACTGGCAAATACGAGAGCCTGTTTGCTAACCTTCCAGGGCAATCGAAAACATTGGAGTTGCCATTGATAAGTTCACTAACTAACTAACCTAAGAGAGAGGCAGATCCGGGCTATAACAACAATAATTCAGAATAAAAAATAACATAAAAACACAAAGGGACTTACCAGTACGTAGTACAGTAAGTGGTGGGTCTCCAAGGGCAGAAGCCAAAATGGTCAATAGGATTGATTGATTGATTGAATACTGAATGGACAGTAGCCCCACACCTTCTTGACTTACGTCTTTTGTCATTGGGAGTTTACAGATACTCCTGAGTCCTGGAGGAGGTGGATAGACTGTACCAATACCGTGGTTACTGGTATCTTACCGCCCGGGTGCCCGTCGAACAGTAAAAGTAGAGTTTCCTTCCATTCTTTTTCCCCTCCTCCTACCCTCCCCCCCCTCTTCAACCCCACCTCTTGGGGCTTCAAGCGTTGAATATAGCGTCATTGGAAGAGTATTTTTGGATGCTGGATAAGCTGGAGGAGGGAGCTTAATTGAGGGTTGACTACTCAATACGTACAGTAACTGCTCACTGCTGGATCTTCGAGATCTCAGAAGAGTAGCCTCTCCGTACCTTTTCCCTTGGACCTTTGGAGCCGGTCCCTGGCGCCAGTCTCCGCTTTTTTTGCCCAGGTCGAACCGTCGAAGCCCTACTTTTTCGCCGTGCGCATTTCCCACAGTGTCTAACCCAGTCGAGCAGTCAACTAAGTCTGTCTAGGACAATAGCACTGAAGACATTCAGGAGAAGAGAGGGAGGGTGAGAGAGTCGGAGAGAAAGTGTGTGTTTGCTCTATGTCTATAAACTCAGAGTCCCGAGAAGGGGTAAAAAAAAAAAGGAAGGGCGCGGGTAAGTTACTTGGTTACTCCGTGTGGTGGTAGACACAGTACAGTACAATAGACTACTTGTAGAACTAGACCTTCGGCCTCTTGAACCTGCACTCTTTCTCGGGGCTTGCTCGAGTCTCTACAGGCTTACTTGGTTAACTACTTACTGACTGGGCTTACTGAATGACTTGATCCGCGGGTCTCGGTCGGCGCTCCCTGAATTCCTTCTTCCCAGTTCTGACACTGATTTTTTCCTCTTTCCCTTTTTTCCCTTTTTCCTTTGGATTTTCTTGGTCTGCCTTTTTCTGAATATTCTTATTTATTTTTATTTTTTTTTTTACTGCCCCCTTCCCCATTATTATTTATTATATTATCGATTGGCATTATTATTACTACTTACTGCTGGACTGACATACCTGACCTATACCTACTACCACTTCTCCAACCACTGTAAAAAAGCAAGTCCTACCTCAATCCTCATCCTCCTCTTACCTTTTCTCTCCTCCTCTTTCTTCTTTCTCCCTCCCTCCCTTCCCCTCCATCACGACTCGCCTCTTTTCTTTTCACCTCCTTTCGTTTCATTCCACCCCCTCCTTCGCCGTGCGAGTTATTCTAAGAGACTTGTAATCGGGCTGGCCCAGTTCAACTCTCCATTGCTCTCTTTCCCTGTGCCCTTTTACTTTCCCTTTTGAACGAGGGGTCGGCAACGTCAGCGCCTAACCGCCAACAACACACAACACATCTTACCCAAGAGGCTGGTACTCTTCTCTTCGCGTGTTTGGATACCGCCTGTGTTTCACAATTCAGCATCGACATTCATATCCTCACTCTAACTCTTCAACACTTCTCCGGGTCCTTTTCACTCGGGAAGTCACCCTTGGAGATTGCGTGCGGTCCACCCGCTGTTTCTTTGATCAGGTTCATTTGGCGGTGCGTCCTCCTTGTTCGGCCCAACGGTGGCTATCTTTAAACATCCCGTCCTCGATGAGTCTTTGTTTGCGCGCATGCATACAAACCTCGCTTTGCGATCCAGGCTGATGAAAATCTCACCAGACCACTGCATCACATCCACAATGTATCCCCAACATGGTGCCGCCATGGCGCCTCCTCAGAAACCGGAGACGTTCATGCTCTCCAACGAGGCTCAGCAAAGCCTGCCCCATGATGCGCAAGTCGCACTGCAGCAGGTCGACAATCGTAAGTTGTACTTGCTGTTCACGGCAGCATCATCCCGAGCCGGATCGCCGCTTCGCCGATCTAGAAATTGACATTGTGCCATCCACTAGTGAAATATTTCCTTCTCTCGGCGCCTGTCGACTGGCATACGGATCAACTTATCCGCAGATTTCTGCTCCCGACCGGCGACTACATCTCGTGTGTTCTCTGGTTAGTTTTCTAAACACATTAGATGCTTGGTAGGGAAGAGCGCCCAAGCTGATTGGCGACAGGAACAACCTTTTTCACATCTCGGGTACCGATATCGTGAGATGTTTGGCCTTTCGATTCCAAGCCTTCGGCCGCCCCGTCAAGAACTCGAAGAAGTTCGAGGAGGGTATCTTCTCGGACTTGCGAAACCTCAAGGCCGGAACTGATGCCACCCTAGAAGAACCGAAAAGCCCATTCCTCGACTTTCTCTACAAGAATAACTGTATTCGCACTCAGAAGAAGCAAAAGGTGTTCTACTGGTACAGCGTGCCCCACGATCGCCTTTTCCTCGATGCGTTGGAGCGTGATTTGAAGCGGGAGAAGATGGGCCAGGAGGCGACCACGGTGGCAGTCAGCGAGCCTGCTCTGTCTTTCGAGTTTGATTCATCGCAGTCATTGTATGAACAGCTCACTAAGGCGCAACAAGCGAATTCATCATCGTTCGCTGCTCACGCAAGTACGACATATGGCCAACCTGCATCCCCAGTGGTTCGGACCGTTGACGCTATGCCTCCTCCTCAGATGGCTCCCCAAATGGCTCCCCCGGCGCTACCGCTTCTCCCGGACGAGTCCGGCAACCCGGCGATGTACAATCCGATTCCCATGCCTACGACTCTAGCCCAAAACGTTATTAAGCGTGAAGCCGATTACGGGCAGATCCAGTACGATCGCAATGGAATGCCGATTGCTCGTATCCACCAACGCCATGCCTCAATGCCAACCTTCGTCGAATACTCCCCAGCTCCCTCCTTCGTGTCCTCGCAGTATGAGGATTATTCCAACCGGGGTCTATCGTTTGAACCAGTCACGCCCCCGCAACACGGTCACCTGGGCGCTGAGCCAGCCTACATCGCTAACGAAGATACCGGTCTTTACACTGCTATCCCGGACATCTCCGCAGCACCTTTCAACCCGATGATGCAGCTCCCTCCTTCCAATTTCACAAGTGGTCATTTCCCGACCCCGGCCAGATCCTTCCCCTCCAATGTCTATTCCATGCTAGAGGGTTCACCGACGTACAAGCAGCGTCGGCGTCGGTCTTCTATCCCCCCGGGCGTCACCAGTGCCGCCGCAACCATGCACCCGCAGGTAACAGGTCCACAACCACAGGCTGTCGCGTATGCCGCTCACCGGCCAAGTGACCTTCGGCGGTCTGTATCGAGCTCGGTGGCTCCGATCCCGGAGGCGGATGATTCGCACCACGACCTTCAGCGTCCCGTCAATGGATACCGTGCAGCAGTTCTTCCCCAGAAGAATTTGTTGCATGAAATGTCCCGCCACAGCACTCCCTTGTCGAGCTTGGATGAGAATCCTGAGCAGCATGTCATGCATCCTACAAATCCTCCGGATGAACTCGCTCCTCTCCCCGACGGGGAGGCGCTTGACGTCCCTGCACAACACAGTGCGGGGAGCAAAGTTGAGCGATATGCCCCTGGACCTGTTCGCCGGGCCCGAAGCGCTACCATGATGGAACTCGGCCCTTATCCACAAAAATCTCACTCCTGTCCGATCCCATCGTGTGGGCGGTTGTTCAAGAGGTTAGAACACCTGAAACGGTAAGTTCCTACCGGTGCTCTGCCCACAAATAAATGTAGTCGCTTACTGACACCTGATGCTTAGGCATGTGAGGACTCACACTCAAGAGCGACCTTATCCTTGTCCCTACTGCAACAAGGCATTTTCACGGTCGGATAACCTTGCACAGTGAGTTCACGCGTATATGTTTTGATAGTATTGGAGCCTAATATCCCAAACAGACACCGTCGTATTCACGAGGCGCAACAAGATGGCCAGCCACCAGTCTCCGTGCCAGATGATGACCTGGAAAATGAGGAGAGCGGATTCGGTTCCCAAGACGAGGGATCCTCGCCGTCCGACTCGATGTCCAGTGCCATCATCCCTAGCGTGACTACAATGCCATCTGCAATGACCTTACCGACTGCTATGCCCACCATGATGGCACCTCATATGATCGCCCCTCAGCTCTTGCAACAGCACATCTGAGCCGTTGGAGAGCCTTCTGAATCTCTTGAATGTCCTCAACCTTCTTTCGCTTACAACCTGCGGGTCGTGTATCTTGAGTTCTCGTCATACCATGCCGCCTTCTCTCAGACCGAGTTCGTGAAGGACTTGTTTTCCATACTTAACCTGCTTCTGCATGACTTATCGAATCGAGTGTGCCACGCCTCAGCGATTCTGACTGGATTTTTTCTGGCTATCTACAATGGCTTTCTGTCCCTAGACCTGTCAACACATCGACGGTCGTAGCGATACCCTGGCCGGGGTTGAACAAGAACTTCCCTGTGTCCTATACTTGCAATCGCGCTGGATCTACTTATCCCTAATAAGCGATATTGGCGTTCCCGATTGTGGGCTACATTGGTAGATCCCTTTACAATTGGTTTTCATCTTTTCCCCCCCTCGGTTTGGTTCCCTGGCTTTGTTTCATCCTCATGTGCTATGTTGATAATGGGATTTCTTGTATCATTTTCTTTTTCTTTTTTTTTTTTTTTTTTTTTATAATTTTCTTTGACAGATTTTCATTTCTTTCCCTTTTCCTTTTCAGATTCCTGTTACTTTATTTGCCTGCATCAAGGGGTTCTCGGAAGCGTGAAAACCACAAGATGCAGGCTAAGACAAAAGGAGCCTCCAGCTCAGAGAGGCTACGACTTTGGGAGGGTATAGGGCAACGAATCCTGTGCGTCTGGGCTGAAAAGCCTAGGGATCCTAGATCCGCAGTATGTGCCTCCATGATGAAGGAAGAGGAAGAAGAGGAAGAAGAAGCAGAAGCAGAAACAGAAGAGGTGGGACTTGTGACTGTGGCAGGAGTGATCTGGTTGAATACATGCATATAGATGAATCAAATGGTAATGAAAGTAGCCCAGTCAGGCGACCGACCATCTTCCGATTACCCCGTATACCCCGTATATATGCAGGGTGGCCATACGGTACCGCATACATGGATCAATGGAAGCCATGCGTTTCCCCGGACAAATCGGGGACGATCGCGGCTCGGTCACGTGTGGGGCCTGCTGACGTCGGCCCAACCAAACCACGAGGCGTGCGTGAAGGACACATGACATGCTTGCTGGCTGGCTCACTTCATCATCATCATTATCATCTCCTTTGCCTTGAGCTGGCTCTCATCTAGATATCTTTGTTGAAACAGCCCTCACTCTTCTTTCAGTCATGGATCAAGATCAGGACTGAATCAAACCTCATTTTTCCAATCCGCCTCAGTAAATATTCTGGTTCTGCCTGAACCAACCCGCGCTCCCGTTGAAGCCTCGGGCCTTGTTTAGTGCCCTAGCAGCAGTCATTTCGTCACCACTCTTGCTTAAGCTGTCAACCAGGAAGCAAACTTAGAATACCGACAGGCACCGCTTTAGCTTTATGAAACGGTGATCTCAGATCCTCAGCTATATCACTTTGGACAGATACCGTCTTCCTATTTCGTGCAAACAAAGTGCGGCGGCTTTTACTTCCTTCAACAGTCGATATTCTAGCCCATCTTTAGAAGACCTCCCAAGAAACGAACTACAACACGGGCACGTCAAATCAGAGCGGGCTCTGCTTTCCTATCCCTGAGGGAGAATTTCGCCTTTATATCAATGACGGGAGCAAATTCTCGGTTTGCCAATGAAACGACCCCTTTAGTGGGAGCAGCTGACAGTAATGAAGTGACTTCAATGACGCACACCGGAGAGTCCAGTGCTACCAATAGGTCGGGAGGCATTCCCGATCTTTCCGAGACCAAGAGCAGCTGGTATCTGTTCTTATTGACCTTGAGTATCGGCGGGTGAGCACTTTCCCCGTTCATTCCCCGTTTATGTGGAGCATGAGTTTGCCTCCACCCGCAGGTGGAAGACTGACAATAATCACCACGTGCTTCAGACTTCAGGTTGTATGGTCTACTGAGCTATCCAATGGATCGGTAAGCTTGCAAGGCCCTGCAATATATCTGCTCGAACTAACCTGGGCGTGTCTGTAGCCCTACCTTTTGTCGCTTGGCATGAGCAAGGCTCTGCTTGCCTTCGTTTGGATTGCCGGTCCTTTGACAGGAACTCTCGTTCAACCCTATATCGGGATCTGCAGTGATAATTGTCGCTCATCCTGGGGGAAGCGGAAGCCATTTATGGTGGTTGGTGGTGCAGCTAGCGTTATCTCTCTGCTTGCCTTGGCCTGGGTCCGAGAGCTCACAGAAGGTCTTCTGGTAATATTCGATGTGGAACCGGGCTCAGATGCATCTCAGACAGTGGTTATTGTGTTAGCCACTATCCTGATGTACTGCTTGGACTTTTCTGTAAATACCGGTGAGTTCGACGAGTATAACCTAGCCTACTCATGACTGGACCGAGGAGAACGCTGACAAGATCAACACTACATACAGTTCAAGCAGGTATTCGGTGCTTCATTGTCGATAATGCGCCCTCGCACCAGCAGGAATCGGCGAACGCGTGGGCCAGTCGCCTAACGGGACTAGGCAACATTCTTGGATATATTTTTGGATACGTGGATTTGCCCAAATACTTCCCATTTCTGGGCAACACGCAGTTTAAAGTGCTGTGCTCTTTAGCATCACTATCGCTCATCTGTACATTGTTGGTCAGTTGTCTATACATCAAAGAACGAGACCCACGACTGGAAGCGCCTCCCTCCTCCGGAAACCCAGGCTTGGTCACCTTCTTCAAGCAGGTTTTCAAGTCGATCCGGTTTTTACCGCCGGAGATAGCAAAGGTGTGCGAGGTTCAGTTGGCCGCCTGGGTCGGTTGGTTTCCTTTCTTATTCTATTCGACCACATACATTGGACAGCTGTTTGTCAATCCGATTTTCGAAGCACACCCGGGCTTGTCGAACGGTGACATCAACAAGGCATGGGAGGAAGCCACCCGAATCGGGACCTTTGCTCTCCTTGTCTTCGCCATCATCTCGTTTGTGGCCAATTTAACGCTGCCGATGCTTGTTGTCCCCACTTACAAGCCGGTCGTTGCCGCCGTGTCTGAGGCGTCAGACGATCAGATGGAGGAGGAGCCTTTCCTGCGACGATCATCTTCAATCGGAACGGCAATGGAAGCGCCTACCGGCATTTCTCCCGACTCCAAAGGTGGATATGAAGAAGGCGGCGGGTGGCTCTCTAAATTACAGATTCCCGGATTTACCCTCCGCCGCGCCTGGCTACTGTCTCATGTGAACTTTGCCATCCTCATGTTCAGTACGTTCTTCATATCGTCGTACCAAGCCGCCACGGTGGTAGTCGGTCTTGTTGGCATCTCGTGGGCGTTGACGTTGTGGGCGCCCTTTGCCCTGATCTCTGCGGAAGTGTCGCGCATTGACACTGAACGCCGGATTCGACGCCAGCAGGCTGACGGCACGGTACCCGGCGCAAGCGTCTCCGCTCATCCCACTACGGTCGGGGATGATCTGGAACATGGACATACCTTGTCCTCTGACAAAGGAGAAGAGGAGGAGAATCTGGCGCAGGCGGGGATTATCCTTGGACTTCACAATGTTGCTGTATCGGCGCCTCAGATTCTCTCGAGTCTGATCTCCAGTGCCATCTTCAAGGCCTTCCAGAAGCCTCGCGGGGAGCCGTGGGATGACAGTGTTGGGTGGGTGCTCAGATTCGGAGGCTGCGCGACGTTAGTTGCGGCATGGTTGGCTCATCGACTTGCTGAGGGAACCCGGTGAGAGCAGGTTCCACAGTCGAAGTGGTTGCTGAGCAGGCTGTGAGGTTTGAGGAAATTTCTATAGTGAGTAAAGATCAAGACCGATATTAGAACTCATGTAGTGATTGGAGTTTAAATGGGAATTCTTTTTTATTGCAATTTGCCGCTTGAAAAATTTAAGCTAAAGTAGATAATATCAGGGAAGGACCTAAGGGTATGTACTCAACCATATGATGTCTATACCAAGCATAGATAGATAGACCTCAATGGACTGCGCGGAGGGAGAATCAACTGCGGGCCGAAGACCAACAACGGGACTCCGACGGACGGACTCACTGCAGTCACGCAGTGGGCCCGGTGACGACTGCTTGGATTCTCCGCCCGCACCGCTGCAGTTCAGTTGTTGTCTGTCTGTCCTCCTTCCCTAATCAATCATCCTTATTCTAACCTTATTCTACCAACTTCTGCTCTTTTTCTATTATTTTTCTTTATTTCACACAATTACACACACACACTCTCTCTCTCTGTTTCTCTTCTTTTTCTTCTTCCTTCCTTCACTCCCACCGGTCCTCAGGCTTCCCCCTCCCCGTTGGATCGTGCATGGTCCGCGGATGATTATGTGTGTCTGCGATTCCATTCTGGCGCTTGACACTCGCCGTTGGGGTTAACCGTCTTTTGCCCGTTGTGGCCGTCGACAAGCCATCTTCAAGGCACAATGGCTGGACAAGTCTTGGGCGATGTACTGCACCAGTTGCTTCGTACGTATTTCGTTAGGATTCCTTTCTGGGGGTGCGCGTTCGTTGAGTGATCGGCTTCCCCAACCCTGCGGTCGGAGTTATTGCCATATCCATATGATAAAACACGCCACGACAAATACAATGACTGACTGGATCCTCGTGCTTACTAGGTAGAGCGGTGGACTCTGACACGGATCCCGACGATGGTATGCAATGCGATCTTGCTCACAAGCAGCTCTCGAACTGACAAGCTTACTCTGCAGCCGATGCACCTGAGGCCGGCACCAAGGAGTTCTTCAGCTCCTGGGCGCTTTTCATCCTGATCATGCTGTTGATGTTCGCGCTCTTCACCAGTTACATCCTACAACAGAAGAAGATCCAAGCGGTCCACGAAACAGTATTGTCCATCTTCGCGGGTACGTCTGTTCAACCTTCGTGGGCGGGTCGGGTGGATTGGGCGCGCTGCAGTCCCCTTGCGATCAGCAATAGATAGCTGACGGTTCCATATAGGCATGTTTGTCGGCCTGATCATCCGGTTGAGTCCTGAATCACCCATTCAGGACAGTGTCGCGTTTGACTACCAGTTTTTTTTCAACCTCCTCCTTCCCCCAATCATTCTGGCCTCGGGTTACGAATTACACCAAGCGAACTTTTTTCGAAACATCGGCACTATATTGACCTTTGCTTTCGCGGGAACCTTCATCTCCGCCATCGTGCTGGGGTTGATTCTGTTCGTCTGGACGAGAATCCCATTGGATGGGCTGGATATGACCTTCGTCGAGGCGATCTCGGTGGGTGCTACCTTATCCGCGACGGATCCAGTTACCATCCTAGCCATTTTCAACCTATACAAGGTCGAGCCCAAGCTTTACACAGTCATTTTTGGCGAATCAATCCTGAACGATGCCATTGCCATCGTCCTCTTCGAGACCGCCCAGAAGTATGCCGATAGTGAGGCAAGCTCTCTGACTTTCTTGAATCTGTTCGAAGCTATCGGGCTGTTCTTGCTCGTCTTCTTTGGAAGTATGATTGTTGGCGTCATCGTGGGAATCATGACCGCTCTTGGCCTCAAATATACCCATGTCAGACGCCAGCCGAAAATTGAGAGTTGCCTAATCGTGCTTATCGCCTATGCCAGCTACTTCTTCTCCAACGGTGTCTATCTTTCGGGTGAGTCGCGGACCCTCACTGAATCCGAAGTCAAGTTGACAATAAAACAGGCATTGTGTCTCTCCTTTTCTGCGGCATCACTATGAAGCATTATGCATACTACAACATGTCCCGTCGGACGCAGTTGACGACGAAGTATCTCTTCCAGGTAATGGCGCAATTATCTGAGAACTTTATCTTCATCTACCTTGGCTTGGACCTGCTGGTCCAGCGGAACTTACAATTCAAACCTTTGTTCATTCTGGTCGCCGTTTTCGGTATCTGTATCGCACGATACCTGGCGGTGTTCCCCCTGTCTCGAGCGATCAACTGGTTCATCAGATACAGGGCTCGACGCCGTGGCATGGACGTTGCAGATGAGCTTCCCTTTGCTTACCAAGCCATGCTGTTCTGGGCTGGTTTGCGTGGAGCTGTCGGCGTAGCTTTGGCCGCAGGCCTCAAAGGTGTCAATGCACCGGCGTTGCGAGCGACGGTTCTCGTGGTTGTCGTGTTGACCGTGATTATCTTCGGTGGCACAACCGCTCGCATGCTCGAAATCCTCGGTATCCGAACGGGGGTGGTGGAGGAAATCGAGTCGGACGATGAATTTGATATTGAAGTGACCAATGGTGGCACATATTATAAGCGCTCTGATACAGGCTTGGGATACACTCCCCGCCGAATGGATTCCACCATTCCTTTGGATGGCGTGACACGGGGCGACCTCGGCCGCCACGACAGCTATTCCAGTGGCAATAATCGTCGTCCCAGCCCCCCGCCGTCTGGCTCCCGAGGACACTCTCGAATGTACTCGAATGCCTACAGTCAGCGAGATACCGCTCGCGACCGGTCCTCGACGGCCACTTTATTGGGTAGTCGACCTCGGACACACAGCGAGAGCAGCGCGGCAAGTGAAGATGAGTTCGGGTTGAAGAACAATGGCAACGGTCGTGCAACAGATGCCGATCAGCTCGATGCCTTCGATCTCGATGTGGGTGATGCGCCCTCGGACGACGACCTCCCCCCTTCAGCTCCCACTTCTCGCCTGCGACGGTCTCCCTCGCAACCCCAACAGTACCTTGAGGAACCTCAGGAGCAAACTCCGGCGACCACCTCTCCTGTTCGACGCGAAACAACATTGAGTGCAAGGGCGGCCATTCGAGACCTCTTTTCGGGGGCCTCTGGGGATCACGCTGCGTGGTTCCGGCAATTGGATGAGGATTACATCAAACCTCGACTTCTGCTTGATCAGTCAAATCACAAGGGGCCTGGCGCGGTCTGACCGGGGCGTTCTGTGTGTACTTCTAATGCATGCTCTAGTTCGTTTTCAGGCTCCTTTGGGCCTGCCCTGGTGTGTGATCTTGGCGTTGCCTATATATATGTGCTATATATTGGTGCAGTCTGTCTGTGTGCTTGTTCTCATCATTTCTTCGCTTGTTTGTTTTTGACATTGGCATAGCTGGGTCTGGTTACCCCGGAGGCCTGTTGTTGCGCGTATGGAGGAGACGTGGTAGATGGGAAGCCCTTCTACTATTAGATACCACTTAATAGTGAAATTCAAGAATGGTCACACCTTAGTCTTTGTGGTCAATCGCAAGCTAATCGTAGAATTTGTTGATAAGAGCGGGACTGCCCAGTGGATTTCCGTCCAGTCCAGTTCAGTTCAGCCGCATTGTGGAAACTCTCTCTCTCTCTCTCTCTTTCTCTTTCTCTCTCTATCTCTCTCTATCTCTCTCTATCTCTCTCTATCTCTCTCT